GAAAGAGATTGCAAAACATTAAAAAAATTTTACAGTCACCGACCACCAAATTGTACTTGTTATTTTTGAAAAATACTTTGTTTATAACAGTAAATATTAATTTGCAACAACAAGCTCCTTATATACATAAATTGAGAAGAGAACATTTGAACTTTTAATGAATTTATTTGTTAGATTCGTAAAACCATCAGTAATTTCTAAAGAAAATGAAGATGTTACTCTAACGTCTATTCCATTTCAGAAGTATAGTAAACAAAAAGAAAATGAAAATTTAGTGATTGGTGCGGAAACAAGACTATATTTAAAAAATGCCAAGTTGAATGAAAGTGAAGTGAAATCATTTTTCAATTCTGTGCGAGCTTTTTTTGTAACTGCATGTTCATATATAATTGATAAATTTCCACTGAGTGATCCATTTCTAAAACATGCTGAAGTTGCTGACATCAACTTGAGAACTGAAGTCTCATTTTCATCTGTTCTTTACTTGATGAATACTTTTCCATCCATTATTGATGAAAAATGTCTTAATCAAGTAGAAATTGAATTTTCCATGTATCAAGTAGATGATTTGAAAGAAATTGTAGATTTGCGTATTGATATAGCATGGGGAGAAATTGCCAAATTAAAAAATATGAATGGGTGTATTAAATACAAAGTATTGCCTTCTGTAATGCTTGCTGTCTTAATAATACCTCATTCAAATGCAGCTTGCGAAAGAATTTTTTCTATTGTTAAAAAAAATCAGACAGAATTTCGACCAAATTTAGGTCTTAAAACTCTTGAAGCAGTTTTGATTGAAAAAATAAATATGCAGGCAAATGAAGAACTGTGTTATAAAAAAACATTCTCAAAATCAGAACTTAAGCTTGCTAAGCATGCTACATATAAATCTTTGCATTCATAAATTATGCGTATTTTGTTTAATACATATATGTATCATTCTTGGTTATTTAAATTTTATTTCCCTGTAGAAATCATATCCAGAATAAAGATATGATTTATAGCTTCTGATTTTTTCTATGATTAGTAGTGATTTGAAGTACTTTTTATTAGTGAATGCTGAGGAGTTAAAAGAAAATTTCTAATTAAATGTGCATATAATTTACAAGGTATATTTTTAATTATTCAGTTTTATATGTATATGGATTTTAAATGTAATAAAATTGATTACAATTAATTATTAATTTAAAATTAATTAATGGTTAATTACAACATACGCTACGCGCACATTTTCAAAGTTGTAAAAATGTCGTTCGCGTTGACTACTGACAAGGTTTGCTGAAGGTTGGAGTCTATGCATCTGTCAAATTTATGCCTCAAGAAGCAAGCTGAGCAAGTAATATTCCATAACATATTCTGGGTAGTGTTGAGCAAATCTTTGATTGATCAGGCAGAGATATTGAAATACAGTACCTTCGATCAAAACTTTGAGTAGTTATTGCCTATCTACTGTGCTTAGCAGCTGCAGAAATAGCTCCGATGAACAGTCCTTGAGACAACACTTCCTTTCCGGAAGGAGAAAGATTTAACTCAGCAGCTAAGATCTTCTCAATCTAAGAATGATATGATCCATTAATATTCGCTCACACATTTCCTTGCCCCTGTGCTGTAGTCTGATCATGATTGTTTTCAGATACATTTTACAGTCTGAGAGAAGATTTGTCAACAGAGTCGCTGTAGATTTTTGCTCTTTATTTGCCTCTTTGTTTTTGATAAGGAATCAGTATCTTTGCATAACATATAATGCTTCTGTATGCAAATATTTTCCACTAATCTGACTTTTTTGGGGGGGCCCATATGACCAGGCTTAAGGGAAACAAGGCAGCATTTTTGTCATCGTAACTCATTGTTGATATTTTTTTAGAATCCTGACTTGGATTAGGACAGTCACAGAATATACGGCTTATTTTTCTTGCACATGTATTTGAAATTACAGTAGCAATAGTAGATTTATCTTGCTGAACTGATTTATGGAATTCTTTTCATTTCGTACCACTTCCCAATGTATTTTACTGCTAAAACACAATGCTCTTCACTATCTGCTTTACAACATAGGAAAGACATCAAGTTTTCCTAAACCTTTTCCTTTGCAAGGACTGATTCTTCTTCTTTTGACTTGTCTGTTTAGTTTACACCTGTCCCAAGCATTTACGATTTCTGCTGGAAGACATGGATACAGCATTGCTGCATAATTTGATGCTGTGACACCCTATATCTCTAAGGCCTGTAGATATTAATTAAGCTTATTATATAAATCAGTTAACTTGAGGATACATTTTTTATTTACTAATGCCAAAAGATCTCGAATGTGAACTTAAATCAGTAAGCCCTTTCTGCCAAATCATCGGGCCTTTTAAGTGGTCAATAACGTTCAGGTAGTTATCCTTAGAAGGTGGATAACTTTGAGCTCTTTAGTTTTTGGTTTTAAAAATAAAGCAAATATTCAGATTTTTTCCCCCGTCTTAAATTTTCATCTGTATGAACTCAACAAAACTGATTTCAAAATGCAACCTGTGGCTTGGGCATAAGATCATACTCTTTAAGACGTAATTTGGAAAGTTTGAAATTATCAAATGTAAGCTTACTAAAAATTAGTGATTATGTTGCTTATAATTTTTCTCATGTGTAACTCATATTTCAGTAAATGTGTCTTCTGTAAGATTCCATTGCATCATACTCTTCATCCATAAAACAAATTAATTCATTAATTTCTTCATCTACTTTAAATAAATGTTCTGCTTTCTGGACAAGTTTGAAAAATTGAGCATGAATGTTCCTTTCCACATTAATCTTAGATGAATATCACCAATTTGCCACCAAAATAAAAAGATGGTGTATATTCGTTATTTCAGCTCGTAATTTAATTTCAAGTTTTGCTTGATAAGCCTTTACTGTAGCCTCAGCCTCTGTTCTGAATATAGAATCATTGTAATTTTCATAAATACATATCATATTGAACATAAACATTCTATATGAAACATAACTTTTGTATAAAATAACTCAGAAGCAGTAGAAAATTAAATAAATTCATAAATTATATACTTACACCCAGTAAAGTAATACTCAATGCGTAAATTTGATGACTTCTGGTTCACTACTTAATACAAAGTACAATGTCATCACAGACACCAGTTTTTTTTTTTTACTCGAAATTTCAGCATAATTTAAGTATGATTTATTTTCACTTGACAAATATACAGAGATAAATGAAAATATTTACATGTATGAGTTAATACAATGATCCAGACATCTTAATGTGATAAATAACATTCAATATTTCTGTAGCATAAATTAAATGCTGCATAGCTTAGAATGATAGCTTCCTCATCACAACATTCCAAACAAAACTTGGTTGCTAGATTCATAGATCAAACAAATTGCAAAATAAAAGATTAAATAATATGAAGCAGGAAATGCTAAACCGTATAGCAGTGGGAACAATATGTAAGTTTTCAAAATTTTTAAAATTGGGTATGATGTGCAATTCAATTTTCAGCCACCTGCCTATTTTATGACAGAACTGAAACCTTTTACTTATTATTGCACATGATGTATAAAAATAGCATTTTTTGAAGGCTTAGAATACACACTGGTTATCATTAATTAAGGAAAAATGATAACTACTCATTAAGTTATGTGTAGAATTTTATGAAACTGACCCACAGTACACAACACATTACAAAGAATAAAATAACATAAAAAGAAATTAGCAAACTATTATGGTGGTCTAGAAATTAGCATACGTATGAAAAGAACAAATCGGATGTATCAGTTTGGTGTAGGAAAATTGCTTTCAATATGGAATATGATCTCTTCTATAAGCAATACAGCACATACAGCAATGTGTGATGTCAATTATGTGGTCTGTGAGTTCCGTAGGAAGTGAGAGCTATTGCTCTTGCAAAGCAGTTGCAAACGTGGAAAGGGTCTGAAGAGGAGGCTTGAGAGCCCCTATATGTCTTCCTGAAGCATACCAAACATAGTTCCACTTGGAAAGACATGGAGGTCTTCCCATCCACCCAAAAAAGACACACCCCAAACACAGACACTGCATGCATCTCTTTCGCAGATATTTAATGGATGATAGTGGGTTGCAGGTTCTCTCCAAATCAAATAACATCTACTTATCATAAACCTGGGTTCATCCGTAATGAGAACAGCCCTACATTGATCTGCATTACAGTGAGCATGTTGATGTGCTCACCTCAAGCATTGTGACATGGGCAGCACGCAAATGTCCGATCACCTTGCTTAAAGATGTCTAGGCATGGTTGACGTTTACACCAAACTTTCAGTAGATGCAGCAAGGAAGGATCTGAGTTGAGTCGGAGCTGTGGTTCTATTCCATCATCCGCATAACAACAAATATCAGTCATCGGCACTTGTAGCAGTTAGCTGTCCTTGTCTGAACCTCCTGGATGCCTAATCTATGGTTACAAATTGTTGCCAAAGTCTATGAACCACAGGAGTCGCATTTAGCCATCTGGCCTTTTCTGTCTTACTTTATCCTGCCTCTAAGTCTCCCAATAGCAAATAATGCCTGGAGGTCATTTTTACGAACTAGGTAACCCAGATTTCTTATCTCAGTATAACAGCAAAATTTGCAGGTTTGCTCTCAAACGTGCAAATTTATGCTCCTCGCCGATGATGTATTCCGGTTGCAGCACCACTAATTTGTATACTGAAGTTTTTTCAGCAACTCTTAATTGAAAATGTATTCAAATTTTATATGGATATGTTTATTTTTGAATGAGATTATCACTATTTTTGTGATTTTCCTTAATTTTTGGAAACCAGTGTAGAAATATTTTTATCATAATCTTTTAAATTCAGTGTAGTCTTAAAATCATAATCCTTTTAAAATAGGAATTGTTTAAAAGTAGTCATTTTATTTGTATTTCTTTTCACTCTTTGTGCTGAGCACATTGTTGATCTTATATTGCATATTATTCATTGCATTAAAAATATATTTTTATACATTGTATTTCTTTTTTGGATAGAAACACTGTTAAAAATGAACATGGAAGAATTAGTTGAATTTCTTCAGGTGAAGCTTGAACAAGATTTTGGGTATCATGATGATGCAGCTGTTGATGCCTTGCAGGCCTCTATGGAGGAATTACATAAACATAAACTAGATCATCCTGGCAGAGCACCCGCTCATGAACTTCCTCAGAAGCCATTTGGTTTAATTGAATCTTTCATGCTTAAAGAAGATAAGGTTGACATAGAAACCAAATGTCAGCCAATGGAGACAAAACAAAATGGAATCAACAACCATATTCTTCCGAAGCAAGATATTCCTGTATATGAAATAAACGACTCGGTTTGTTATTTTATTGATTTTATGGAGCTGAGTTTTTATCTATGTGTGTTTTTAACTAAATATTATATACAATACAAAGTCCATAATCCAGACCCGTCGGGACTTCGGCGATTTCGGATTAGAGGTTTTTCCAGATTATAGATCATCAATTTAAGTCTGGTAAGATTGCATGTAGGAATTATACAATTAAAAATATGAAACCGTAACTTATGACATAAAGAGCAATTATGATCTAAAGGGTATCAAAATTTACAAAAAAAAAAAAAAAAAAAAAAAAAAAAAAGCTTAACATTTATTTGTTTATTTTATTAAACATTTCTTTCAATCTAAGTTGTTTCGTTTTTTTTGTGCTAATACTTTCTCTTTAATTCTATAAACAGACATAATTTCTTGTTCAGTTACAAAGTTCCACTGTTCATGTCCTGTAATTGCTGTGTCTAGAATACCGACTAATTTGTCAATCAAAAGTTTTTCGTTTTCGGTCTCTTTCTTCCCTATCAGAAGCGGTATTTTCTGGATCTAGAACCATACTACAGATTTTGCCATCCGTTAATTAATTGATAATATGAGCATTGTTGTCACAATGAGAAACTTCTGTTATATCATCTTCATTTATTACCACTTCTCCATATTTCTTTACAAAATCCTGTAGCTGGAAAATTTCACCTTTAGTTTGCGATGTCCGAAAACCTTCAAATTCGCGGCTATCATCTTCATCGTCCTCACCATGAAATATGGTAGCTGGCCATAAATTATGCAAAGCATTTTTTAACATTGTAAGGATTATGTTGATTTTATTAACAGTTAAATTTTAAGTTAAAGTTCCTTTCCTGTCAAATTCTTAACTTCAACTTACTACTTCCAGCCAGAGCGTAGTTTTGGAATCATTCTGAATACTTAATGAGGAAGAGTGGTATTTAACCGCGAAGTTCTACTTGCTGAATTAGAGCAACCGTCCTAGAACTAACTACTTAGTTCTAGGAGTGTTGGTTAGAGAGAATCAGAGTTTCTGATTTGCATGCATCTGCCTTTTGGCTACTCTTTCTCTCAAAGCTGTTATTACACTCGGCCGTACTCAAACCCTTGATAAGCTTCGTAGTCAAATAGAGTTAAGGGGCCAACTCATTTAGAATCTTGATAGCTTCGCCTATATTCCTTTAGTTAATTTTAGTTTATTTCTTAGTCTCTTAAGTTCAAGCCCAAGGGTCGGCTTTTATTGTACACTCCAAGACGGAGTTTTTGTTAAATCTTATTGGAATAATAAAGGGTTAGTTACCCTTCCTTCTTGTTTCTTGTTACACGAACTTAAGAACGTAAGATTCTCATGATGTATTTAAGATGTATCTGGAGACACATCATCCTAATTCACATGTGCATGCGTAAAGCATACAAAAAAAAGTTTGTGGCTCTGAGGTCCGGATTATGGACTTTGTATTGTATTTACTATTTTTTTTTTTTTTTTTTTTTTTTTTCAGTTGTTATTTCTTTGAATATGGAATTATTTTTACTTGCAGCTTTTTGAAGTTGTAAGGTCTTGCAAATTTGAAAAATGAGCTTGATTCAGTATTCTGTAATTTTCTTCTCCTTTTATTAAGTAAAATCATAATTTTAATATTTACTACTAAAACATTAAAGTTTTACATTCTCAGAGAAAGTAAAATATCAAAGTGTTTTTCTTTTGATCATGAGTTTTATTGTGGAGATTCAGGGATTGTGCGTTTGCTGGTTTTCCAACATATTCATATTTTTCTCAATAATAAAACAATACAGTTAAAAGTCATTAATTCGGACACCCATAATCCAGTATGATCTATAATCCAGACCTCAAGGCTACAAACTTTCTGCGCATGTGTTGCATTAACGCATGCGCGTAAGACCTTTACGGCTGCGAATATGCGTGTGCGCATGAGCAAAATACGTTTACGAATGCGCATTTAATGTATAACGGACGGTATAAGCTAAGCTAAAATTATCTAATTCAGTTAATGTTGCAGATTGCGTTGTTCCTTAATCTTCGAATTGGATCCAGCGTATTATTTTTTGCAGACGGTTAGAGCAATTTTATAAAAGTAAGCTTGAACTTTCGATTATGTCAAATAGAATTTCTGATATATATTTACTAATATGTAAGGGATTTACAAAGCGAAAGTATATTTCAAAGTCCATTAAACAAAAAGTGGAATTGCTGCAAAAAATGGATAAAGGCATATCCTTTGTTTATCTAACCATTCCAAAATCTATTTATCAATTTAACGCTGCTCTGCGTGTGTGGGGGGGGGCGTCGCGGCGCGCAATTAACTGGAAGTTAATCTGTCAGCACTATCCTTATCTTCAGGGCAGATGTTTTTATTTTATTTGGCTTATAATTCCTTACTAAGTGTAGTATTTCATCTCGATGTACTCCATCTTTGATATGATTTAAATCAAATTGCTCGTCATTATAATTCACTTCTGATAGCGAAGAAAGTGACAATTAGTCGGTATTCTCGACACAGCAATTATAGGACTTGAACAGCGGAACTTTGTAACTGAACAAGAAATTATGTATGTTTATAGAATTAAAGAGAAAGTATTATCACATAAAAAATGAAGCAACTTAAACAACTTACATTGAAAGAAATGTTTAATAAAGTAAACAAATAAATATTAAGCTTTTTTTTTTTTTTTTTTTTTTTTTTTTTTTTTTGTTAATTTTGATACCGTTTAGCTCATAATTGTTCTTTATTTCATAAATTTCGGTTTCATATTTTTAATTTTATAATTTCTGCATGCCATTGTACCAGATTTAAACTGATGATCAGATTTAAACCGTATTTAAACTGTATTCATAGTCCTTAGCTGATGATAATAATTTAAGTAAACATTGATCATATATGTTTGAATCTCCACAAAATGGATTAGCTAATTATTTTTTTAGGAAAAATATTTTTAATAATGTCAATCTTAATACATTGCTTTTCAAAGATGAAGCATAAGTGAAATTTCCAGTGAAATTGTATTTACTGCTTTTTCACATTCAACATTAAATGTATCATATTGATCAGTGTTATTCACCTTGATGCTATTTGTTATAAAGATAATTAAACTGTTTTCAATATAGCTTCCAGTTCAGGTCTTGTATTCTTATCACAGTTTCAAATCAGATTTTGTGATTTCAAAATAGTTTCATATGTTAATATGTATTTCCTTTTGTGTGCATGTATTCCAATATGATGAAATGTGGGTAAAGAAGCTTTGCATTTCATATCTGTGTCATTTATTTATCGTGAGCATTTGCAAAGTACTTCTGGTAAATATATATCATTAAAAATATTAAAAATATATTGAACGTACTGGTTTGCTATGGCATGATTATTGATGTTTTTCTGATTTACAAACATATAGAGTTTTCTTCCATTGTATCTTTCACTAGTGTTAGCACTCTAACACAAAATGCTTTGCATTACTCTGATAAAAACTGTGTAAGGTTGAAAATATTCTGCAGGAGATATGTGATGGGTTTACCTACAAATATGTGTACATAGTAGAATATGACATGCATTATGCATTTTTTAATTCTTTAAAATATGCATTTTTTTTTATATATATAGTAATGCTGGCGATGTTTGATGGAACATACAGACACTATTAAAAAAGTGTTGCATCAATTTAAAAATTACTAAAATCAGAACACTGACAAAGAATTTAGTTTGATCAATTGCTTTAAAGTTCAGGTTCTGACAAGTTATGCTATAGCAAAAAATTTTGTTGAAAATTTAACTCAGACATTGATATCAATGCAGTTTTCAACAATTTTCTCACTGGTTTAAGCCCTAATAGTGGTCTATTAAACATTTGCTGGCCCAGCAGTAAAGTCGCTGAACACTGGTAGTTTGGTCCGAGGTTTGAATCCCGTGAACAGGCTGGCTGCATGGTTGTTTTCGTGGTTTTCCCCATGTGTAATGTCTATACGAGCCAGTTCCCTTTGAAAGTCCTCCTCGAAGGCATCCCTCCCCTTAGGCAGATAGCCCTCGAGGCTTTGCCATGATTAAATAACCTAACCTAAACATTTGCTTAATTTGCAAGTTCTTCAGTTGCTCCCTTGATTTCCTTCCTTTACCTCTCTGTGACGTATATCATACTTTTATAGCATGTTCTACTTTGAAGACTAAAACTACAAATTTATGTGTGTATTGCTTCATTTATAAATTGTTAGCTTCCTAATTGTCTTATTTTACTATCCATTACCATAGTTCTCATTAGTACCTCATGCAGAGTAACAATCAAGGATAGTAGAAAGAAATATTTAGTATTAATAAATGAAGGAAAACCTCCATGGAATATTAATAGTGCTTTAACTGTACCATTTTTTGTTAATCAAGTATATATTTACTGCTAATGTCTGTGTGAAGTCAAGTAGTTTGTTAAAGTGAATGAAATCCTAAATGCTTAAGTGCTGAATTGCTTTGATTGTGGAACATTTGGTTAAATGAAATGTGCAAAAAATTATTTGTCAGAATTAACATAAAAAATTCATTAAAATTAACTGATTAATGAGGTGATAATGTTTGATGCTAATGAAATAAGAAATTTTTAACCACCTTGTAATTAATTTATGAAAATGTTTAATTTAAAATATGGCTTTCATTTTTAAAATTTTTGTATGAAGTATTAACCTATTAGTGGTCAAGCAGGTAAGGTTGCTGAATACTAGTAATTTCGGCTGGGTTCAAATCATGGTGAATTGACTGACTGTATGGGGTATTTGTTAATTTCCCATGATTAACATGAAACTGAGCCAATTTCACTGAAAATGTTTTTTATAAAGGCACCTGCTTCTTAGGCAAATAGCCAAGTGTACTTTGCAATAATTAAATTATATGTAATAGTCTTATTTTCCTCCAGTAAGTTTGCATTTAATTTTTTTAGAATTTTTAAATTATGTATTTTTGTATACGTGTTAGTTTTAAGTTATGTAATAAAATTGTATAATGCTACAAATGTAAATTTTTCAGCATTTATTAATAATATTTTTATTTCTCATAGGAGATGACCAATGGGGCACATTCACCAGTTTGGAAGAGAAGAGAGGAAGTTGAGTCAGATGGTTTTGATCAGACAGAAAATATAAATAATTTACGTTTTGGAAAGGGTTCAGATAATACTGAAAATGACAATGAGAGCTCAATTGTTGATCCACTTAGTTCTAGAAATTCTTTAGCTGAGACATCTCAAACTTCTGTTGCAGATTTATCTGCACTTTCTGGATTTTCAAGCCCGAGTACAACATTAACTAGGCACAAAGAATGCCATGATGATAGTATCTCTCCTCAAAGCCCAGCAGCTCGCCCAGCTGAACTGAGACGCACTCTGTCCATGTATGATAATGTTGATTCAAAGATTTCAACAAATGTTGTCACTAGACAATCGCCACCTGCCTCAAGAACACATTCACCTGATGCTGTTAGAGTTTTTGTGCCATATGAATATTCACCTACTTCAAAAGCCCCTTCATCATCTACATTGTTACAAGATCGCTCACCCACTCACTGCCCCTCTATAACTCCACCAAATGATGACATTACTCCTACTAATCAGGATCCTAATAAAATTACTATTCAAGTAAACTTAGATTATAATTCAAAGGGAATGCCAAATGGAAGTGTTGAATATTAAAATTTTGTATAGTAAGTGCGAGAACTAGTTTTTTTACTGTCCAAAAGAGTTTATATAATAAATACCTTCCAACACACATGATAATCGCTTATAGGAAAATTGTGTGCTTTAGTACCTGCTCTTAATGGGAACTTGCAGCCCAAAATATCAAATTTTTAAAATCAGAAATAAAATTTGTAGAAACATTTTCATGGACTCAAACCTGAGGTCGCCTTAACAATTTTAAGACCGTGTAGTTTCTTGTTTAATACTGAGAGATGCCATTTGATAAAAATAAGAGCATATGTATAAATATGTATATTAAGCGATGATAAAATACTTGTCGCACAAGATAATGTTCTTGGTTTATTTATACATATTTTAATTTGTTGGCATTTCTTTTCTGTAATAATTTATATTTTATCATATTTACTCTGTTATTTATATGAGAAAAATCATTTCATTCCATGTAATTTCATTACATAAATTTTTATTAATATTTTTTAATTCAGTACACTGCCACATTTACCAATCCATTTACTTACTGATATGATTATTGATTATGTGTGTGCTGAAAGTTTTTTATAAAAACTTTTGGGCTGCCTGCTGATACACAAGGCAATATATGGGTACTTAAAATGTCTAAATGTTAGAATGCTTAAATATAGAATTATTAAATAACAGATGAGATTGTTATAGTTTATAGTTCTGTTTAGGCATTTTTTTTACAGTAGGAAAGGAAAAATGATGAATTGTCATTTTGGCTCAAGAAATCAAATTTATTCAACCTGTAACTTGTATTATTTTAGTATTTAATATGTAAATACTCTTGGTGTTTTGTATAAAAATGTGTTGTAATTAATTATATAATTATTTTATAAGTGTATATTATTACTTAATGCATTTTGCAATATGATCGTTATGAATCATCAGCTCAGCATAACAGATAATGTTTTCTTGATTTTTAATATTGACATGGCTTTGAATATGCATTGTGTTAAGGACTGAAATTTTTATTATTGCTGAATAAAATCAATCTCGATTGTATTTTAAAGTAATTTAAAGTAAAAAATGTATTTCTTACAAATTGGTCCAAAAAATTAGCCAACTTAATATCTATTAATATCTATTAAATTTTGTTACATGTTTTAAAGAAAATGTAATACTTATCTCTGGCTCTCTCTTCTTTAAAATGTTAAGAATGAATTTGAATGAAGAGTAAAAATTTAAACAATAAACATGAAATTTATGTGAAGAGATGCAAACAAGTTTAATTTAAATTACCAATGAAAAAATTATGAAAATACAAGAATTATTAATCATGGTACTTCAGATTTTTTAAATAATCCCTAATCTTGGTATTTTTGAATTTTAAGCAACATTTATCTGCTTTATATGTATCACTTGTCAATTAAAAAGAATCAGTATTTATTATTTTAAAATTACTGTATGTTCCTCGTACATACCGTACCGTATTACACACACTTTTAATTTAAAAAAAAAAAAGATCGAAGTTTCCAGGTGCACATTATATACTGGATTTAAAAGTGATAGATATAAAAAAAAGGAAAAGATGAGTGCTCAAAAGTTAGATTTCTGCATTAACGCAAATTCTCTTCATGTAAAAAAAAAATGACATACCATATAAATTTTAAAATTTTCATTATCAGGTAATGCTTGTCATATTAGTTTTCTGCTAAATCCTCAGGCGCATTGTTGAATTCTGTTTCATCTTCATCATTGCTGCTACTCTGATCCACCTTCCATTCCATCTCGCTTGTTAGATACACATTTTTTGTCTTTTGAATTATGCCAGGTTTGATTTCATTCCAAGCTTTTTTTATTCACTCGCACACTATTTCTAGACTGGCATGACACATTTGGCCTTTTTTTATTAGTGTTTCTTTTTTCACCTTCTAACAATTCACTATTATTTTAAATTTTCTTTGAATGGTTTACTGATACATGCATCTAAAGGCAAGACCAATGATATTAATTGCCCTGGAATAACTGCCATGTCTGTACTACATTCGTTCAGCAATTTCCTCATATGATTCATAGATGGGATCTGAACATGTCTCAAACTAAAAGATTTTCCGAGTTCTTTAAAGCAACAGGACGTTTCAGCGAAACATTCCGTATCTTTAATTTCATGCCATTTTCATTCACCCCTCCTTTTCCATAAACATGATTGAAAACTCAGTTTAGAAAATTACATTTCAGCATCATCTTTAAAAATAATAAAAATTAAAAATAATAATGATAAAAATAATAATTTTTAAAAATAACCATAAGGTTTAATTTTGTTCCACCTGGCTAAGCAGGAAAGCACCTATGATAAGGTGAGATTTTTCTTGCTTCCTCATCCATTGCTTTATTTCCTGTCATATCAAACATTGCTTGAGTTTCATCCATACTTCCAATATATGAGAGTAATTTTTTTTTTCCCCTTCATTGTTAAAAACATACTTCTGGAAATTTATCTGTTTGTTGTTCAAATTTTTAAGAAGCCTTTGCAAAACTTTTGTTTTTTCTCATAGAACTAAATTATTCCGTGCCATAAATAGATTAACTCAAAATGTTAGTTTTAAGTTCTGTAATAAAATTGTACAATGTAACAAATCTAAATTTGAGCAGAAAAGATGAAATGTCATTTTCTGTAAACCAGATGTATTTACGTTAAAATAACATGTCAAATTATAATTATTGGAGAATTCAAACAACACGTTATATTTCTAAATTTTGCTTCGATTGTTTTGTAGTTAAACCATCAAAACTAGTTATGCAAAATTTACAAATACCATGCTGATTCTTGTTCGTCTTTTCCAATAATAACATGTATTTTAATCATATTTTAAATTACAGATGTCTTGCTGCATGGGTCATTGATAGGCATTCAGTTACTTTTGAGAAGAATTAATTGTTAGAGACTAACATTTCTCAAAATTTTATGTTTGTTTTCCTATTTGTCATGCTAAGAGGTGTGAAAAAGAATTTAGTAGAAAAATTGGATGTATTAAAGCAATAAATTTATTGTAGTGTGTTATTTATTAACATAAAACTGAAAACTATATTTCCAACTTGTATGGTGGTATTTATGGAACCATTACAATAACGGTAAGATACCTTTAGTTATCCTTGTAAAATAGTTTTTCTTAAGTATATAAAGTAATCTTTATGAAGTGATGTTTAGTGAATCAATATATTGATATTTTGAAAGGTTTTTAAAGTTAAAAATATTGAATTTGGTGGCGTTAATATAATATAGGGTTTTAAATTGTTTTTATTTGCTAATAACCCCGAAAATGATATTAATTTATTTTTCTTCCCCCCCCTTCTCTCTCTCTTTTTAAAACAAAGAAGAAAAGTAGTAGTACTGTTTACTAATAATCCAAACTGCCACAGGAACTTAAATAATGTGTAAGCCTAAAATTTATTCAGTAACTGTTAGATTAATTATTGTATTCAAATAAATAACTTACACACATCTGCCTCCTGTAATAAATTTAGAAAAGTTTTAAAGAAATCTCAGTTACTAATGTCACTGATAGTTCATTAAACTGAGCTTGTATAATTAATTATATGAATATAAATCCATAGAAGTTAATACTAAATTTGATGGAAAATTGTAGTTAAGAAACAAGTTTGTTCAGTCTGTGATATTTAGATAAAGTGTAATTTTTGAAATAAAAGAAGATAGATATATAGTTGCATGTTCTTGTTATACAAGTTATGAATGAAAATATCCTAACCTTTGTTATTGGTCGTGTAAGATTAACTTGTGTATTTATTAGTTATTATAATGGAATACAAATGCATGATTTCTGCATAGCTAACATGTGAGGCTAACAGATGTAAGAAATATAAATCTGCGAAGGATAACCTTTTAAATAGGATGAGTATGTGTAATGGTTTAGGGCTGTCAGGCTTACATTTGATTACTGCACATATTGCAGAAACTGATATTTAACAGATCATTATGGGCTTGTGGCTATGAATAAAATCCTTTCCATAAAGCTGAATAAATTTGTATGCATTTTAATATTTTTAATTTTCTGCATCTGGCTTAGACTCTTAACTTCCTATGTGTGAAATTTACTGAAACCTAGGCTATTTTCAAATTAATTTTTCTATATTATTGTATATTTTTATTTAAATTGTATTACTCTTTTATGTTATACTATATAAATTGATGTCTAACTTAATTTCCATGTAGTTACAGTCTAAATAAAACTTCATGTGTTTGCAATGTATTATGACAAAATGCATAGTCTGTAGAGTTCTGTGCTTAACCCCTTGATATACAAATAAAATATGTATCCAAAGAATACCAGTTAATTTGGACACTCACGTGCAAACTTAGAATCAGAAAGTTTTATTTTCAAATTTACGTTGCTATATAACAATAATAATATACTGTGTGGCATTCACCAAAGACAGTTCTTGATGTCTAGACCTCAAGTCTACTGTGGCACATGAAATCAATGACATCTCCCGAATGTCATTGTATGTCAAGGGGTTAAAGAGTATTAAAGAATCCTATGTTTTTGTTAGTCTGGTGCACACTAAATTTGCAATTCAAGGACCACATTAAAGCATCTAAAATTATTATGATAATAATTCATATTAGCAATTTGCATTCTGTATTGATAGTTCATGTATGATTTTGATCAGCCCTGTGGAACAAGCCGAAAAATCTTACATATATCTGTATGTGCAATTGTGAGTGTGTGTATGTACATACCTATATGTGTGAGTGTGCTATTATTTTTATAAACTAATTCTCCATAAATTTAAGTATATGATGTATATGATGTAAATTTTGTGTTATTTAATATTACTAATGTTCCATTCTTTATGTTATTTAATGTAAAAGTATGTTAAGGAGTGCATACATTTTTTGACCAATTGTAGTTAGACACATGAATCAGCTCTGCCTTTTATGTGATGCTTACAGTTTGTATTATAAATCAAAGTAGATTGGAAACATTTTCAATTTCATTTTATGATCTAGTTTCTGTCTTCTGTTGTAAAACAGTTTCTTCAAATATTAATCAGTATTTTGACAATGATGTTATAACTTAAGACTTTGCTGCAATGCTTCCTTTTATGCAGCAAAGAAAAGTAGACAAAATGGGAGAAATGTCACCTTTACTTGTAAAATTTATTTTGAATGCCATGTTTAATTCATAATTATAGACATAAATAACTCAATAGTGTAACTTAAGAAATCTTGCTTTATGTTTCAGTGATAATTTCAGCCATGTTATGCATTTATTATAATGATTGGGTGGATTTATTATAATAAAGTGGGTTTATTATAATGATATATATGATTTATGACTATGCTGATCATTGTAATTTTTTTAAGCAAAGAGCTTAGGTACTGCTAGCCAAAATGCTAAATTTCATTAATTTTTTTTCAAAAGTTATTTATGTAATATTTATTATATGTGTGAGGAATGCTTCAAAAATTTAGCTTCTTGTGAAGTTTGATTAGCCAGAGGTTAGGGCACATTTTTTGAGGGGGGAGGGCATTAATTTATATTTCAACTAGACCGTTTTTTTAATCCAAACCAGTATTGAAAATGGGCTATCAAATTTGGCAAATTTGAAAATGAGTTATTGAACTTAATAGCCATGAAGACAATTTTTCCAGTGTTAATATGCAACACTTTATCTTGATGTTCTGCTTTTTATGCAGTGCATATTTTTCTTTAACATACAAAACTTTTTCATGATCAAATAAAAATTATGATTGTTTTGTAATTTTCATGCTATGTTAGGGCAACTGAGAATTCTTCCCACCCTCTCTATTATAATTCACAGATCTAATTATCCAGCACTTTGTTTCTCAAACTTTTTAATCTTATAATCCACATGCATAAAATTGTAATTTATTGTGACCCACATGCATATAGTTGTGATTTATTGGGATTCCTAACATAAAGTTGCCCTGAGAAAGAAGATTCCTTGGAGGGGGAAAAAAAAATAACAGTGAAGTAATAATGAATAAACATATAATTATTAATACTTAATTGGTACTTATGGATGTTCCTAATTACAATTAAATTTGTGGAAATAATTATCGAATGAGCAAAATGTTTGCAATCCACCAAAAATTGTCTCCTGACCCACAATTTTGAGAATTGATTTTTAAGGCATTTTATGGCATTTATTGTGTGACTAGAATTCCGTGACCGTACATGTCTTATGAAATAAGTCTGTCCTCCAGGCCACATCCAAATTATTACATTAATAAATGTAGATTATATATGTGTTTACATATGTGCATGTGTATGCATGTGCACACAAACATTCACAGGGTGTTTGAAAAATTTCATAGTTATATTAACAGTCATATTAAGGCCCATGATTTGTCTAAAAAATTGATCCAAATAATCTATGTTAAAACTATGACAAATTTGGTTGTGGGACACATTTTAGCAAAAATATGTAAAATAAGTCTTTAAGAAAACATTTAGATGTAATATTTAAAATTGGCTTTGGGAAAATAATTAAACAATTATATGGTTTAAAGAAAAACTCCCAAAATAAAACATCAGTTTATAGAAGTTGTATAAAAATTTTAATTTCAATAGTTAAAAAATTTTGAGAGTATATCTACAAATGGGATACTTTAAAGTACTGAAGCCAGTACTTATCAATTTAATTAATAAAAAAATTTTAAAGTACTGAAGCCAGTACTTTAAAATTTTTTTAATGTAAAAGAACTTTTAAAAATCTGCATCATATAACTTTAGCATGTATAAATATCTGTTATTAAAAAAAATTTTTTTTTTGCTTCCCAAGGTTTTGTTTAATGAAATATGGGTAATTTTGATTTTTTTGACTAATCTTGTAATGGGAAACACCCTTTTTCACTGACCTTTTCTTTTTGTGTATGTGTATTGTGTAATAGGCCTGTATAAGAAATGCCATTTTCAAGTGTTTCTACTAAAAGGTGTCTTGATCAAAATCATCAGTGTAAAAGTCTGCCTTACTTGATTCATTTGTTAAAATGGGACCAAGGGTTTCCATCCAGTGGTTCAAGAGACACAGTAAAATGTCTCATGACACTGTGACTACCTTTTAAAAAAGCTTGCTCATTAAAGTGACTAGTATTTCTGTGAATGTAATTAAAATATAGTATTAAAAGATCAATAAGGGTTTTATTCACTAAGGCAATTATTTCCATTTTCCACATGTGAAAATGTATTTTTAGTTCTCAACATAATATTTATAATTATCTATGCACATGTTCCATCATATTGTCAGTGCTCCAATATCCAGGTGTATAAATTTCTTTGGATTGCTATGTCAGTTACATCTTGAACATTGTTATAATCTAAAAAGCATTTGCCTTCAAGATGTTTTCTAGTGCACGAAACAGGTACTACTACTGTTATTGTTATAGTGTATATAATACATTTCCCGAATGAGTTTCTCCACCTTCTGCACTGTTGCCTCTGTCTCAATGTAAACAGGATGCTTACTCTGTTTTTCATTGCAAACTTTAGATCAGCATTGAGAAAATTTCTCAGCTTACTTGTGCATGGTTTTATGCAACATACATTTCTTGCCAGCAACAGGAAACAATGTCATTTATATGAAGGGCATTTATATGAAGTCCTTGCCTCTGCCCCCAAAAAGGATAACATCATACTGTTCCTGTGTTTTACAATTATTGAGTTCTATTGGTATTTTCAATCTGAACTATGTATGTGTATCTGGTACCTAGTTGTTAATGAAATGAATATTATGAACCAAGCTAGTTCTGCCATACATGTATACACTAACATACATATAAAGCACTCATTGCTATTTTCAAATGTATCATGGCAGTTTGCGACTTATTTAATGGCTTTCGCTCATAAAAAAATGCCTCAAGTGTTTAATATAATAAAATTAAAAGGAAATGTGATCAATTTATTGTTAAGCTTATTAAAAAAATTAGTAAGTAATGAGTTCTAAGTTTAAAAGAATCCTTGTTGGATTCTAAACTATGTAATTATGCTCTAATGAAGGGTTGAAAAGTTAAGAAGGATAAGAATTCTTAGTTTGATCCTTGGTCAAAACTGTGTTGTTTAACTTCACAAAATATGGAATTTCTGTCATTTTTAAGTCTTTAAATAATGTGTAAAATAGACAATCTTTAGATAAAATGACAGTAATGTATATTTTCAAATAAAATTCCAAAACAGTTTTAATATCAGAAAACTGCTTCCAATTCTAGAAAATTACTATTTTTTATAACTCTGAATATCTTTTTTTAAATATTTCTGTGTTTAGGGAGCTTACGAAATGCTGCGATTTTTAAGAAGACTAATCAGGGAATTCTATCACAAAAAGGAATCTCTGGAAATCATAGTAGAAAAACTAAAAGTGAAAATTTGCAAATTGTGAGGAGGAGGTAGAATAAAACCTCGAATTTCATACTTTTCCAGAAATTGTATCTTCCAATTATAGCAATAGTCAAGAAACATGATGGCATTCAACTCTTATTAATGATAAATGTGTGTGTATATATATATATAATGTGTGGTTACATGATTGTATTTTTGAAGATTTTTATTACTTTCAGTTGAATGGTTCATCATAAAAACTAGTTCCTAGAATAATTATTTCTGTGTTAAAAACAAAGTTAATCATGAACCATATTATAGACTATCATTACACCAGCAAAATGCTATTCCTTTCTCTTCCCTCTAACTGTGATTTGAATTTATTTCTTTCATTATCACCTGTATTACTGAAAATGCAATAGTTGTGTCCTTTTCTGGAAATAATTTTTTTTTTGGGGGGGGACCAAAATGATGCCATTCAAATTACTAGTTGTTAAACTTATATGATTTGCACCAGTTTTTTCTTTTACAATGTAAGGGTATCAGAGGGAGTGGTATTCTTCTTTGGAGCTTTCACATAAAATGTGAACTGTAACTTGCATTTTGGATACTTTGAAGTGCTGTATTTTTCATTTTGCTTCTCTGGTGCATGTTATTTTCACTCCAAAAATTTTAAGGACTTTAGAACTTTAAACAGCATTCACACTTGATACTCAATGATTCTAGCAGAGCTAACCAGTGCATGGAACATGGATCTATCTAACCTTGGTCATTCACACTTACTGGAAACGTCTGCTAGCAACAGCCAATAAGCGAGCAGGAAAGCACATGCGCTTTCATTTATTTACATTTAGTAGCTGATGATGTTTCACCATGGGAAGCAGCATGCTACTGCTGCTGATTTCAAATATTCTCTTTCGTGTTTGGTCGGTTCCATGTGCCGACTTGCTCCGTTTTGCATTAAATTCAGGTGTTTCAATTGAGTCTGTTGTGACAAAAAACTTTTTTTTTTTTCTAGCTCATCGGCTGTGTCGGTTGCGTCAGATGTGTCCCTTAGCTCTGATACGTCTCAGTGTGAACGTCTTTTCAGAGTTGATAACGTTGATTCCGTTGATTTAATTTTCAGAGTAATACTAAATGAATTTCTTCAACAAAAGTTCATTTTGATGATGTTAAATTCATAAAAGTATACTTCTAAATATATGTTTGGTGTATTAATATTTAAACATAATTTGACTGTTTTCATCTTCAAAGTGCTTTTCTGCTGCCCTTCATAGAGAATTGCAAAATCAATTCAACTATAGTATGCATCTTAATCTATGACGAATACAGGTGTATTTTAAGCACATATAACAAAATGTTGATACAGTGTGTTGACAGCCATTTGTATTTGTAAAAAATTAATTTCTTTAAAGGATTATGCATCTTGTTGGTGAGTTGGGGCTGCCTAAATTTTTACATTTTATGTTTACTTTTATATAAATGCTATATAAACTTGTAAACTGTATAGACATTTTAATGCTAATACTTTGTGTGTTTCCAAGGATTCTGTCTTCCTTGTAGCGTTATTTGGAGCAAGAGAAGTTTAGGTAGTATTTCATATAAGAATTGTTAATTTGCTGTACTTTCATGTAAAAATAGCAGTTTATAATGTTAAAATATTTTATTATTTCAAAGTACGTGATAGGAGTTGAGAATTTAAATTTTACTTATATTTATTACAGATTTAAAGAGATTAAAAAATAGTGATTAGTCAAAAATAGTCTCGTATCATAAGGTATTCCATAAAGTTATGATACGAAACAAGTTCTTGGGGAGGGGGGAACTAACTTTTTTTGTAGAATCAGGTTGATATGGATCTGTGTGTCTGGTATACTTAAATGGGTATATTTTACTCTTCATTGTTTTAAATTTGAATGAGACTTATGGGTATATGAATTGATTTTTATTTGACAGCACTAATCATTTCTGACCATGGTTACATCTCATATTCAAATTTGTGTTCATTATGATAAACCCTTACATGTTTAGAGAATGTTTTTATATGTTCATTAATTCTTTCTTCATACATATTCCAGAATTTCATATAAGAAATACTAGTGCCCTACCTTAAGGATATTTTAATATTTTTAATAATACGTTAAAATTTTATATATTTTTTCATGTTAAAGAAGAAAATATTGTCATTTATTATAACATCATGTTGTTGGTATTCCTTTGAATTTTATGAAAGTAAAAATAACACATAACTAAACAGTTCAGATAGCTGAATAATTAATATCACATAATTAAGCAACTGTTTTAAACACTTATTTTTTATTATTGTATTTTAAAGCAGTCTTCGTTATTATTGTTGACTGTATTATTGATTTATAGTTTATTTCCAAACTCTAGTTTTTCTTGTAAAATTTAATTCTAAATAGGTTTGTTTATATTAATGAATTTCATGTATTATGTGCATTTTATATTTAGTATTAATTATAATCATGTTTCTTATATATTTTATTATTAATTGCTGATATCTGTCATGTTACTTAAAGAAATTTTCTTCAGAAATTTAGAATTATTTGTTATGAGTTTATGCCTTGGAAATATTCCTGCGAAACATGCTAAATTTTGCTGTGTAGTTTTCGTAAGAGTTTCATTTTAGTATTTTAATGGTAATTTATATAAAAAAAAATTGAATTGTATGTTTGGACTTGGAGTGAAATGAGGAAGTCTCTTCCGTAACTTATTACATGTTTGCAAATTTGGTATTTTATTCCATAAAATAACAAACATTGTTTAAAAGCTTAAGAATCTTTTTCATAAGCTGTAGATTTAAAAATAAATAGTTAAGCAAGGTATAATGTAATAAATGCTATTGTAAAATGAGACTTACCCAGAATGTTAAGAATAGGATTTATCTCTTTTTAAATGTAGTACTAAATTTGTTCATGAAATGCTTTTTAAAAAAGTTGCATTAAGAATATCATATTCATCATATTTTCCCTTCATATTTTCTCCAAAGTGTGTTGTCGCAGATGCGCCCAAATTTTTGCGAAGAAGTTTGCTCTCGCCGATGTGGAAGCTTATCCCTTGGACTTCCGTTCTACTGATTATGACCCAAGAGCACTCGATGCTGCAAACTTTGTTTGCAGTGAATGTGTCGATGACATAATGTTGCGCTTCCATCGTTCTATACCAAGTGCCGAGTTGCTGTTCGACAACCTGATGAAATTTAAATAGCCAACACATTATTAAGCAATATGATTAGAATTTAATTTAATCAATTGATTTAAAAATATCATTACATATGTATATAAATTTTACATATATATGTAATTTCTAATGGTAGATATCATAAAACTAACAATGTAAGTAAAATGGGATGCTTAACTTCAAAAACACAGAAATTGGGAAGTTTGATTCGATTGACAAAAAATAGAAAAACGAACAGCAGTCATTTTTATCTCTTAGCACTTACAGATTATAATGATTTTTTTCAAAAATAAATCACAAAATTAAAATAAAATCTTTGCAAAATACAGATATGAGATTTGAAAATGTAAATCTGCATTCAAAATGATGCAGTTTTTGACACTTATTTTGTACTCATAGTGATACTTAAGAGTGTTAGTGGAGAATGACATAAAATAATATCTAATTTTTTTTAATGTTTTTTTACTTATCTATTAAAAGAGCTAATGAATATAATCATACTTTTATATCTTAATTTTTAAGAGCGCATGAGAAATGGATGGTAATCATTTTCTCTTTAAAATTCGTAAAATGTTTTCTAAATGATAAAAGCCAATTTGAATCAAATTAGAAGTTTGTTTGTATTATAAATGTGTAGTTTCCATGGACAGAATAATTGACTGCAGATCTGACTTGTGATTAATTGAATAATATGCATTTACATCATTTTGACAGATTTAAGAGTCTATGTTTCATTGAAAGCAGTTCTATGTATTTTATTACTAGGTAACATTGTGTTGGAAATTAATGTTAAAACTGAATTCATGATCTCACTGTGTTTTATGATTTTGTTCAAGTTTCTTAATTTTCCTAAGTAGCTGTATAGTTGTAGTGCAACAGACTTTGTATATTACATCCATAAAAGCTACTTTTTATTTTTTAATCATATTTTTATTATACATCAGTTTATTTCTGTATATTTTATCTAAAAAGAATATTAAATTCTTCACTGTTAATTTAATTTTTTTTACCAGTACAATAAATTGAATCAATATTTATAAGAATATTTTTTACTTTTATTGATTTTTATATTTTTTATACAGTTTTATATTTTTAAGTAAGCAGTGTTTACTTTTGAACAATTTTGTATAATCAGTTTCTTATAATTTATTGCAATTTTCTGAATTCCATTTTTATACTATTTTATTTGTAGCGTTTTACATTTTATGAGCAGGTTTAGTTTGAAGTTATATTTCATATATTAGCTTTCAAGTTTAGAAATTAATGTCTGTTCTTTGTTCACAGCTTAAATTTTAAATTTATGGATCAGTTGTTGTTAGTATGTTGAAATGTAATTGAGATCTTAAGTATGTGCTTCTTTTTTTCAAAACATTGATGTTAATACTGATTTAAACGGGGGCATTTTCCATCTAGTAATGAAGTAAGGGCATGTTAATTTTAATATAGCATGTTAAATTTTATATGGAGATAAAAAGTATGTAAAAATAGATGGGATTTTCAAAATGTTCATATTGCAAAGCAAGCATTTAAGCATAAAGTGTAGGGTGTTTTGTTTTCCTAATGTGTGAAGCATATATTTCAGAATGTGTTTGTATTTTATTTGAATTTAGGATCACGCTGTTCCCCCCCTGTGTATCTGTATCTGTATGTGTGTGTGTGTGATATCCACCCACACATACAGATTTATATATATATATATATATAAGGTTTATTAATGTGGTTTAGCATACATGTATTTTGAATTATGTATGAGTGAAGAGAAAGTGTATGGATATTGTATACATATGAATTTTATAGAGCATAAAAAATTCTTTTATCATACTACTGGAGCTGCTGACCACTTCTTATTTAATCAAAAACTTTCCTTTAATACACACATTGTTGATTTGCTTGTTTACTATCATCCTGCAACTGGCAGTCTGGATTCTTTTTAATATTTACTTGCAGCACCATATCCAGTGCATTTTTTAATATAGTAAAATATCAGAAATTCATGTATTAAATTATTATTAATTGTCTAATATGTGTTATGTTTCTTTATTTTAATCCAGAAGCTATGGAAAGAATATCACTCACACAAATCTACTTTGCTAATAAAGTAATTAACCTGCAACACATGTATTAATGTATATGAACTTTAATTAATTCAACTTATTGCATTCTTAAATGTGTGCAATATATTGGGAACTTTGTGTCAAATCTATGTAGTAAAGGCGTTATGCAATCTACTTAAATCAAAATAGTTCCATGTTTTTTAGTTGGTAAAATTGTTATTGTTATAAACTATGAAAGATGTGGGGTACTTTTATTTTTACATTTATAGTATGCTCTTCCATCTGATAAAGTATCTCATTTAATTCTCATTAAATGTTGTATATACTATCTCAAACTTTAGACAAGCACGTTTTGGGCTTTGCCGAGATAAATGTTCTTCATATGGAAGAAATGCTTTTCAATGACATTAGTTTTGTGCATGATAAAATATGTACAAAGCTCATGTAAAATTGAATAAACTTTTTCAGAATAAATTTGTCACATACTGTTTTTATTTGAATATTTGCTTTTATCCACATATGGAAGCAATTTTTAGTTTACATGGTATTGCATGTTAGGTCAAAAGTAAATTTACTTATTAGAGGTAATACTTCATTATTAACAGTTTATTCTTTTTCTGTAATTCTATGTTTGTTCTTCCTGTTGTACTTATAAAAAACTGAGAACAGCATGTTATATTTAGTCTTATTGTTGGGTAGATTTTCCCTTGATTTTGAAGGAGCTTGTGAGTGGCTGAGGGGTAAAGGATAAAGAACAGGGGCAGTTGCCTTCATTTCATTCAGGCTGATTGCATGGATATTTTCTTAGATGTGAAAACTGCACAACAAACCAATTTATCATAAAAAGTCTGTATAAAATCATCTCTTTCCTTTAGAAGTACGCTGGTTTGTGCTTTCCTATGATTAATTAATCAGACAGACCTTGGTAAAATAATGAAGTATCCTTGACCCTAAAATTAATTTCAAAATTCTGGGTAGCTGAAATTTTAGTGTATGTTCATCTGCTTACATGTGTGTAAAAGAATCGTAATCCCCAATAATTTTAGAGTTTAATAACAATTTCAAAACAAGTAATAAGTTATTTCTTTTATTATTCAAGCAATAGGTTTATTTCTGTTTAGAACATTAATGGCAAGAGCACTTTACTAATCAGTTTTCTGAAGATGATTTACAAAAAAAAAAATAATTTGGGGATTTTTCTTTCATATGTTGGGCTAACGGGAAAATATTTCATCCAACTGAATCGTCTAATGAATTCCATGCCGTATGGCAAATCGTAGGATTTGCCACAAAATTCAGTTCCTATTGACTCGGACATTGTCTGTCTTCTCCACGTAAGTATCCCTCTGTCTTCCAAAGATGCTGAAAGGAATATAGCCATAAAAGATGTTAAGTTCATAAATGAAATATTTTATGTAGTGGGATTAAAACATTTTCTAAAATTTAACAAAAATTATTATTGGCAAGAGAATATTTATTACTTAAGAGTAAAACTTAGATTAAAATACGAATATACGATGGATAATTTCTAAAGTTTAATCCACGTGTATAATTTTACCAATTATGAGCAGTGGCATAAATAGGTGTATGCAGGCGATGCAGCTGCATACGGGCCCTTAGATGTTCTGCTGAACTAGATTTACATGTTTAAATTTTAAATTTAGAAGGGAAATAGACTGGGATTTTTACTTCCATAATAAAATAAACATAATGTTTTTGTAGAAACCAAAGCAGAGTTTTATGTAATTCCTGTTGGGAGGGCCCCTTAAATTTCGCTCCAGCTTTGTTTTTGTGTAGTTCCACATTGACTGCATCAAGAACTGCACAAAAACGAAGTTGAAAGAAATTCAAATACGAAACAAAATAAGCCGTGTACTGTTATTCTAATTCTCCGCAACACGAGCGCTTTCAGTTTGTTAATGATGAAATCTTTAGTGATTCTGCTGTAGGGAAAATATGACAATCAGGCTAATTGTCTGAATTTCTGGAGGCAAGCCTGTGACGAGGGCTGCAAAAACGAAGAGACGGAGGATAACCTTCTGCAATTCTTCAGATCTCCCGGAGGAGGGGAGTGTCTAGAAAATGTTTTCGCATTATTGCCTGATGTCAAATGTTTTCCATACCTGGGAAGGAGTTACTTAAGGGTAAAGATTAACAATGCTCCTGTACTCGTTGACTGTATATATCCATTACAGCTTCGGTTAGATATTTAAATTATTTACGTAGTTTCTATGTAGTGTAATACTGAATAAAATTATAAAATACATAAATGAAACATTTTGAAGCCCTTTTCTTTTTGTTCAAAATTTTAACTTCTCCTTTTGATAGTTTTGCATAAATATTATACTATGCTATTCTCTATTACTTATTTAATCACTACTATTGTATACTTAATACCCGTAGTTGCCAAAATAGCTGATTATTGAAATTTTGTTCATATTAATTTCAATACTTATTTTTAAATATTAAATGCTAAGCTTAAATGAAAATTCAGTGTTTTTAAATTGGTGATAGATCATAATGACAAATGCTCTTAAGAGCTGAATATAAATAAGCAAAATGTAACCTTTTTCATTTCATTTCTATAAATTATGGTCATGAAACTTTTCTAAAATATTGAAGTGTTTCTTCTGTTTTTTTCTTGAGTAAAATTCAGTCTCTAGTCAGAGATTTTTACACAAGTTTAAATTAAAAGCATGTCGAAACAGTCAAATAACTTCCCTGTTCTAAATACGCACGAGAACTTCTATGTTAAATCAAAATCAGGTAGCTTAAATATTTTCAAAGGTTAACTATTTCAATTTATTTGCTTAAGCAATTTTTAACTAATATTATGCATAAGAAAATCCAAATCCTTAGGTACATGCATTTTTTACGCCATTGGCTTTTAATTCCTAAACGGTGAATAGCATAAAATAAATTTTATGCTTTTTTTTAATAAATAGCATAAAATAAGTTTTATACTTTTTTTTTAGAAAAAAGGAACTGCAAGATTCAGAAAATAGGAACTGTGTAATTTACTGCAAAACATGAGCTAAAGGATTTGGGGCGTCATGAATGTATGCGGTTGATTACCACGAAACGAGCTGCTTAACGGATAAACCGATAGACTTTCAGCTTTTATGCTGATTAGGTGCAAACTACATTTATTTAAAAATTCATTGTGTTTTACAAATTTTGCAGAAGTTATGATATCAATGACTTAATATAACTATACACTAAACTACCGCGCTGAAATAATTTAAATATACAATTTCTGTGTTAAAAGATATAATTTCTGCGTTATAATTTTATCTGAGAGGAGATTACACTGATTTGAAAAAGTTACAGTTTAATATAAGATAGTCAATGAGAGTTTGTAGCTTCCATCAGAGTATTTTACTCTTCAATAACTGCTGAAACCATATTCGGGCATTTTCTGTTGTGAATGATCGCTGGCAATGCAAGTCTTATGTTATACCGCATTCAAACAAGTAATAATCCAAAGTGCCTATTAAATCAAATGGAGGTATATGTGTGATGTAGGCCGAAACGGAAAAGATAGGGTACCAAATGAGCCATTGAGCTGTAAGGAAGTGATAGCGCGATTAGCGGAAATTAAAGTTCTTTAGGGTAAAGACAGAAATGTAAACAAACGTGCGTCTTCCTGCATCTTTCTATGACCAGTGATATTTCCATAATGGCATGAGTTCTTGCTCTGAATGTGATTTGAGATGTAAAAATGTAGACTAGTGAGTTGATGAACCATTGTCTGAGAGATATGAAGTTGTTAACTTTTTGAGCTTGATAATAGTTGCTTTAATTTTTTACGTTTGGCAGTCTCTATCGTTGATACGATGTGCAGTATCAAAGCCTGTGCCTTGTTTTTGATTGTGGCTTTTGCAATTAATGCAGGTCCTTGTAGTGCTCTTGCAGTCCTCGTGAGAGTAGTCCCCAGCGCAAATTCAGCGGCAAGTTTGAGTTTTGACAAGTTTTGCCTTGATGTCCAAGACCTTGACACTTATAGCAGCGAGTACTTAGGTAAGGTTTAAGATAACAAGGATTAAAACCTATACAGATTTTTCCGGAATTTGTTGGCAGCTGTTGAGGAGGGGAAATGTCCACTATCCAGTTGTTGGTTGTATTTTTTTGCTTTTGAGAGGTTCTTGGATTGATGTCCAAGGAAAAAAGACTGAAATGAGGTGGAATCCTGAAGTCTACTGTGTCAGTTATTGTAGGGTTGTTTTCTATGGTAGTCTTTAACTGAAGTAAATTATTCCCATTCTCACAGCAGATTAAAAATTGTTTGGAACGTGTAAATCTAATATGCTTTATGGTAAAGCCTGGGTTTGCTGAGTGTCAGAACATAAATACTAGAATAATAAAGAAAACCATGTTCATATATTTTTTCTCAGGGCACAAGGCCCAGTCTTTTTTTTAACTGCTTCTATAGGTTTTCTTTCTTTTTTGTCCTTTTTTTTTTTTTTTTTTTTGTCAGCAGTAGATAAAAAGTGAAAGGGGTCTGTCTCTTCACTCTGTGTATTGTCTGAGTCAGTACCATAATCTACTAAGTCGTAAAGAGATATTCTAATTTTGCAGGAAAAGTGTGGAACTATTTATTTAATTAATTAAAGTGTATTTAGTATTTTTCTTGATGCTGTAAAATGTTGCGTTTTGCTGTTTATTTAGTCCTGTCAATCACTGTGCAGAAACGGTTGTCGAAACATTTTCTTCGTGTTTTTACAAACTCTATAACAAAATGTATGCGGCTAGATTTAATATTTTGAGGAAATAACTCTGGGAACCTTTTCTGAGCACTCTTTGTTATACCGTAAACAAATAAAAACATTTTTCGTCTTTCCATAGCTTGCTACAAAACTCAAGAATTGATATTCAGTTTGCTTTCAAGATCTTAACATGCACAAGAGAAAAACCTGGAAACGTTTTTTTTTTTTTTTTTTATGAAAAACCAATTCATGCCAGAAAAAACAATCCATGCATTCAATTTTTTTATTTAAATTACTATTTTATTTCTATTTTCTATTTTTATTAAAATTTTTTAATTACTCCAAACTGCCTTGAGGAATATGAGTTGTTCCATGCAACTGAAAAAAAAGTCAAACACATCAATTTATGTCTGGCATGATTTAAAGACCAAATTTCTGTTTAGATAGTTTTGTGTACATTTTATACTAAACTAAGGGGGAAAACTTCCTTTTTTTTTTTTTTTTTTTTTTTTTTTTAAACTTTCGCCAAACTTTATGCCTGAATGAGGATTAAAAACCAAACATGTTCAAAATGTTAAATGGGCAAATAATACTGCTACAGTATCGACAAAATACCAAACAGTAATTGATCAGCTGTAGTAAAACACGCGAGGGTTATTTACATAAAGAAAGAAGGTTTTCGCAGAGCGCTATTTACTGGTTCGTGTTTACGTTACACATGAGGAAAAACACGAAAACTCTTGTTCTGCCATCCCCGTTTGCTTGGCAGCTTATTGGCACCATTTGCAAGTATTTAGAAATATGAAATGAAGAAAATTTAAGTTTAGAGGAGCAAACCCTAGTTTTTATTTCAAATAATTAATATGTTGTTTTCTCTCTCTTTTTTTTTTTTTTTTTTTTTTTTTTGTTTCCCTTTTGCGTGTGTGTTATGTGTGTATTCTTCTTCTTCCTCTTTTCCCTTTTTTTTAAGGTGATATTCTAAATTTCCTGCGTACGTTGAAAAAGAAGTTTCGCAAATTCTAAGTTCATATTCTGCAGTTTGGTGTTAAAACTTTGGTAACTTCTTTAGGATAATCTTTCAAGATGCAAAGTTCACAAATTCAGGTAATCAGCATTTATGTTTCTGAGTAAATGTATCAAATATGTTTAAACTGTTTGGACATTTATTTCATGCTGTTCGGAACTACTCGAAATTACTAAGATTTTGAAATGAAATAAATTGGCACGTTTTCGCTAAGAGCGCCCATTTTTGAATAAATTTCATGTTTTTGAAGGCTTTGCGTTGAGAAAAGCAGCGACAGCAATCTAGTTGGCAGGCAAGCGAATGCGATGTATTCAAGATATAACCCGAATCAGAGTGATTTGGTTTTGATTCACATTTGCTCCCTATTGGCTAATATTAAGTTTCGGTTCCGAAATTGAAATGATTATTGTCTAGAAACCTTTTAAGTAAGTGCCTATGTCATTAGAGCTTTGCAAAAATCATATGATATGATTTAATTTTGAAATGATGCAGTTTAGAGAGATTTATTGTAACAGTTTCTATTTTTAATACAGAAAGGAGAAATAGTGAATTAAAATGGAGAGTTAAAGGACTATTCAAATTAAATTAGAAAGAATATTTATTTACATATTTTTTATCTTACGTATCTATAATAAAATACGCTGCTGTCGTAAAAGATCCGAAATCTATTGCAGTCATATCATTACGTAATAAAGAATACGCAGGAATAGAAATATCTGTATACATTAGGATTATATGTATATGCAAGGAGGTTAGAATAGAAGGAGGGAAGGTTCAACTCAAACGGTGAAGCTTGGCGGCCATCTTCCTGTTATCACCGTGACTTGTGCAAGGAAGTCTGTCTTTGCAACATTTTTTTTCTTTTCTTTTTGAAGCATGTCAGCTTGTATTGCATATGGATGCACAAATAGATTCTCGAAAAAAATTCCGGGCATTATTTTTCACACGTAAGTATTAATTTTCTTTTTTTATGTAATATGACAACTATGTCAAAAAATGTCACGTCATGTGGTTTTCTTTCCAGATGTGAAAAAAAAGGGACTTAAAAATAAAATAGGTTATTTAATATAACTATAATCAAAATATATTAAATACATTTTAATGTTTCTGTTTATAGCTGGTATCTTTGTTCCTTAAGATACAATGCTATATGGTAGGATTTAAATTGTATAATTTGAACGTTTTAGTTAATTCGTTTTATAACTTTCATGAAAAGTAAGAAATCAATTGTTACTATTTTTATTAATTGTAAAGGTGTTAAGTAAAGCAATGCTTTTCTTTATATATTAATTATTATTCATTTTTTTAAGTTAAAATAAACTGTTCTGTTGTTAAAAATTTTTTGCATAAACTTACAAATTTCTGGGCAGTATAGTGATAAAATTAAGTAAAATATTTACACAACTGAACATGTGGAAAGATGTATCCAAAAACTTATATAGGTGTATTTCTGTAATTCAACTTAATTAAAGGCAGTTTCTTTGAGATTAATAAATATGAAATGCGCATAAACTGAAATCAATGAATTCACATAAATCTGTTTTATTTCATTAAGATTTATTTTCTAACCTAAGCAAATCCGTGAAATATGCAGAAACATCATTTTTTAAAGGCTTTAATGTTATGCGCATGGATTTAGATTTCGAACTATTTCTTAATAATTTGCTGTACATAGTAAATTATGGATATCATCTTTATTACTTTAAAACAAAAATTCAACAATAGCGAGGGATTTCATTATAAATTTAACATATTTTTACTGGAAAATAAATGCACGGAACAGCTTAGAAACACGTACATATCACTGCCGTAATGCAATGTTTTGAAGTCACAAACATGGACGCCGCTTGTTCGGCGGAGTTTCATTCCCCGATAGTGGAGGAAACTGCGAACCCTCCCTCCTTCTATTCTAACCTCCTTGTGTATATGTGTGTGGAACAGTATTGTGGTTAATGAAGGCTATTTGGCAGCACGAAACTGAGGAGCAGGCTGCGTGTAAAGCTTGCTTATTTTTTGCCTTTCACTTCTTTGTGGATATAATATCGGTCATCTAGTAATATATCTTGGAGAATACTTTCAGTGATGAAACTATTAAACAGCTAATGAGTTCAGCTGCAATTCCCGCCGTATGTAAAACTAGCCAGGCCGTTAAAAATGGATTTCAGGATGATTTATCCGCAGTATCAAAAATGGTACAGGAAAAGCTGATTCAGGTAATATGTCTGAAACATGGTCAAATTGAATGATTCTTTGATTATTCTGTTTTATTTTAAAAGGATGCACATCCACCCTCCGAATATCTTGTTGTCAATAATCAAAGATTCTGGCTTATCGAACTGTTTTAATTTTGAAAAAGATGTTTCCAGCTACCATATTCAGCTCATCTTTTAGTATTATGTGCTTCATATGCAGAAAAATCTAGTGTGCTCTAATTTATTAAAGCTGAGCGAACGTTTTACTAATTGTAAATTTTACTCTAACGGAAGCACGCAAAAGCTTGCAGAAATTTAACATCCACAGAGTTAAAATTGCTTTCATAAAGTTTTTAACCCACATTTCTTTCTTATTTTATCTTTTATATGCAAGGAAAATGCTTATTTGTATTTGCTTAATAAACACATATGCATTTTGAATATTACGTGCTGTGCTTTCTTCTGATTCATATTTAGTGACATATCAGTGTCTCCTGGTCAACTATATATTTCTTAGTGTTTGTTTAATATAATAATAAGTACTTCGGGCAATAATATGAATGAATGCAACACTATGAATGGAAAGGTACTACCAACCTGGTATTGTATTGTCTAACAAACAACCTAGGAAACCTCCAACGAACATGCTTGTTTTTAATAAAATGTCAATTATTTGGTCAACGAGAACATTTCCTGAAAGAAAGTGAAAATCCTATTTAGAATTTGTTTCAAATGAACAGATAATATATAATACAAAAATTAGTTTTTTTCATGAGTTTAAACTAATTAATAAATAGTTTCATTAATTTGCTTATTAATTCAGTTACTAATAAAAAGAAAGTATTTACATTCATAAACTACTACGCTTGCGATTAAAAAAAGATTACATAACATCTGGAATAAGAGTTTACTCTTAAAAAGTTTTAAATCTTTAAAAACATATATTAAAAAACCCATAAAAATATTTCGCTTCTCTTTTTAAATACTCAAAATTACAGTCAACATTTGCTACTATCAACATAAATCAATATTTACTGCTGCCGACTCATGAAATTTATTCTTTACTACTGAATTCAACTCAAAATTTATTTCAGTTTTAAAAGCTCCATTTGTTAACGCATTTCTTTTTAAACGTAAAATGGTATAAACAGCAAAATATCAGCCTCTAAGTTTAAGAAACATATTATTTAATTATGTTTAAGAAGCATATTTTGATAAAATTAAAAACAAAAATATATAGAGTTTTGCAATCTGTATGTTCCTACAAAATTAAAAACTTTATTTTGGATGCAGATAATAATATACCCAAGAGTTACAGTAAGAATTGTGCAGCCCACCAGTTATAGGATGTAACATACCTACTTCATAGTATGAAATAGCACTTGCTGTAAACTATAGTCAAGGATTCCTGGTAAAAGAAAAGGAAAGGGTTATCTTCATGCAAGGACTTTTATGAAGTTTAATTTGGATATATCGGATTGTGAGTAAGCACGCAGTGTAGCTGTTTGCTGAGGGAAAAGATCTCTTCATGGAGAACTTTAAGAAACATGGCTTGTAATCATGTTATACACGGAGAAAACCACGAATATATCCATGCAGCCTATACTTTGGCCAGAATTTGAACCAGGGTCGATAGCAGTACTCAGTAGACCGACATCACGTCTGGAAAAAGCCACAAAAACACCCACACAGAGAATCCGTACACCGGGGGATTAGAATTTGTAAACTACTGCAGATTTGACACTGGGGCACAAATGCACAAGATGATTAGTGCACTTGGTGATGCACTTGCACTGGCACACAACATAATTTTTTTAAGCGATTGATGCTGTAGTGAACAACGCACATATATGATATTGAAGATAATTGAAGTAGCTTATGCATCGTTTGGCAACAGCTTCAAATTATTGAGGTGTGTCTTATTGCAAATTGAAAACAATAAACGCTTTGAAGAAGTTTCCTCGAGGAGTAAAAGAATTTTGCTGGGGCGAAGGAATAGTAAATGCATCGTACTAGAATCAATTATTTAACATGTTGAGTTTTTTTTTAATCATTAGCATTGAGTATGAAAAGTATGAATGGAGACTTCGATAGACTCTTGCGAAAAATGTCTGCTTTTGCATGATGGGGGAGCATACAAAGAGCATGATCATTTAGGTATGCTTTTGGGAAGTATTAGAAAGGAGGCAAGTTATGTTTCCTTTAGGAATCGGATAACACTGGGAAAAAATTGTATTTCAGCGTTGCCAACCGGAATAAATATTTTTGCCTCCTGTTTGCATAAAACTGAGTTTTACGAAAAAGTATGTGGAGACCCTACATAAAAGAAATATTCTAATTATCTCTGCGAGAAATTTTCTAATCGGTCTAATACAATACTGAAAATGTATTTTTAAGTAGGCCTAGGCACATGAAGATCGGTGTCTTTGGTGATTAAAGGAATAAAAAGGTCTAGAGTTCCTTCAAAAAGGTGGTTAGTTATTCCCTTCAGATTAATAATGACCCTGAATATGTACTCATTGATGAAAAAGTACTAGAAAGATTCAAAAGTTTAAGAAGATCAGCGTGTATTGAAATTCATATCTTGAAGTTAAATTGGACATACATACATTTTGTTTTCTAGAAAATTTGTAAGTTTGCAATACTATTTCAAGAAAAAAAGTTCTTTACTGAATTTCTGTTAAGGGGCGAAAATATGTTTTATAATGAAGAAAAATTACAATGGCGATTATCCACATTTGTTTATTGAAATAAAAAAAAAAAAGCTTTCTTTTTAACATAGATATTTGTTCTCGCATTCAGCAAAAGTTACTTTTGTTTACTATGAGAATCTCGTATCTTTAAAACAGTCGTATTAATAATGCAATTTAAGTTTAATAAATAAATAAATATTTCGTAATACCTGTTTGTAAAGCATTTGGTTGATCGTGAAGGTAGGCTGGAATACATAACCCCATAAACACTGAAAATCCTATAATGAAGAGATTTCTTGAAGAATTCAAGTTAATGTACTGTAGACTAGACAAGCCTACTCCCGTTATGATGGAGAACATGACGCAAAGAATGCCACCCATGATAGTAGTAGGCATAGCGACTAACAGCATTCCAAATTTGCCCACCATTCCAATTGCAATTACCATCACACCAGCTAGCAGAATAACCCTGCGACTGCCGACCTATAATAATAATTTTTTTTATACCTGAAATGTTTTACTATACTATTTTTAGAAATATTTATTATTATATATTAACTGAGGTAATTAATACACAAATATACTCTGTAAAATATAATTTGTTCTCATATTATTTTAATTCATGAAATACCGTAGAAAATTCTAATTTCAGGAAATACAAATAAAAATAAATTGTACAATCATCAGCCAAAAAAACTAAAATTTTCTTCCCGTAAACGGAAGTAACGCGTTAAGATTTTGTGGAACGTTACATGAAAAATAGAAATGAGCTCGAGATGTGAAACTGTGTATAAAAGCAATTTTTTAACATAAAAATTATTTGCGTAGTTACTTTGGTAATAGGTTGATGCCTATTTGATAGTTACATTGAAGAATGTACATTAGTTAATAACATAAGTACACACTTTAGTGGCAGTTAACAAAAGCATGAGAAGAAAGTGATTGTAACACACGGTAGCATATTCCGAAAGTTTCAAAACTCCGCCTCTAATGGTGGATTAATTCAAAAGGCAGAAAAGGAAATTTTTGCGGTTGGCGAGCGGAAATACATTCTAATAACTAAAGTTACGGAATTTTTCCATCTTTTTTCACGTTTACATCTTTTTTCACACTTCTTTTGATGTACTAGCTATTTATACCCGAGTTTGGAAACTCTTGAAAAAATTATAAACTTTGAACTAAGACTTTGAAAGAAGGGGATAGATGCCAAAAAAATATATGTATAAAGTGATAGAAATTTTGAAACATTCCATAAATTCGATAGGTAAGTTTAAAGATAGTAAGAATTATTTTAGAAGCCTATTCTCACATTATCAGAAAATACTCAAGAACTGAAATAACACGGGGGCTCCCAAGGAAACCCAATAATCTCAAAGTTTCCTAGTCATTTATGGGTACATCCGCGAAAGTCTTTAACAGTGCGTTTGATAACTTAACGACGCTGCAGACGATATTAAGTCCATTTCTGTCATAGTGTTATTTTTTGGAACGAAGAGCAGTATTCGACGTTCAGCTGTCAACAAGAAAGTTTGAAATTTTCTGTTCCATTTTGTTACAGTAGTGCTCATTTTGAAATCATGTATCTGACAAACGAAGAAACGGAAAGAACTTCCATCCAGCCTTGAGATTTAAAAATTACATAAACTTTCAAAAGATTATAGACCATGAAAATCTTCGAAAACTCAAAGCAACTGACTGTTGTCAGGATATGAAAAAAAAAAAAAAAAGGTTTTACTCGCAAATCTGAATTAAAAGCCTTTTTCAAGAATGTGACTATGACACTAGCATACATGTAGCAAGCATTGTGTCATCCAGGGAAGTATCTGGTTGTAACGAAAGTTTTCCGGCAAAAAACGTTCTTAATAAAGTTAAAAAAAAACTTGAAAGCAGTACCTTTAGTGAGAGTAGTAATCACCACCCATATCTATGTTTTATTTTGCCAATGTTTTGGTAGTTTTCCAAAGCTTTCGGCCCAGAAACTTAGTGGCCACGATTCCAAAAACAGATCAACCTCATTTCTTAAGTCCTGTGCAGAATGGAAGGTAGCACCATCAAGGTGTAGCTGCAGGTGTCAAAAAAAGGTGGAAGTCCCAAGGAGTGATGTTGAGCTATATGGTGGGTGTGACAAAAGATCCCATTCGAGTCTGTACAGAGTGCAGCCGGTGAATGCAGACACACGCGATATTGTGTGATCTTGATGGAACATTACCTTTTGCGCTTGAACTCAGTTCGACGTTTTTCCTTGATAGCAGCGTCAAGCATCTCGCTGTATACTTTACTGTGGAAGGTTTTATCTTTTTTCAGATACTCTTTGTGGCAATCCCAGATTCAAAGCATGATCTTTTTGTTAGTCAAATTGTGCTTTGCGGTACTGCCGATGAGTTCACCGAGTGCAAACCAACCACCTTTTCAGTCTGTATTGTTGAAGTAAATCCACTTTTTATCGCAAGTGACGATCCGGTCCTGAATTTTGCCCTTGCATTAATATTCGAGCAGATTAGTGCTGTCCCGAACACGTCTGTCCTTATCTGCTTGAGTCAGCTCATGCGGCACCCAGCGATTGAACTTGCACGTCAAGTTTATGCAATGCATAGTGCAATTAATGTACGTGGTACTAACGTCTAACTCCTTAGCAAGCTTTTGAGTGGTTGTACACGGATCTTCCTCCTCAAGTTTTCGGGTCTCATCAACATCAGTGGACCACTACAACGCTCTGCTTCTTGAATGTCATAGTCCTTGTTTTGGAATTTCCATCACCAAACCTTCAGAGTGTCATATGATACAACATTAGTACCTAAATCTATACACATGATTTGGTGACATTCTGTAGCAGATATTTTGTAACAGAACTGTAATTTTGTAAATGATGGTTCTAAACTGGTATCGTGATAGTTCAATTTCAGACACCTTGTACTTAATGGATAACGATTTTGTTTAACAAATTTCACAATCTCGTTTCTAAAGCAAGTAGCTTTCTATCAAATGTCAAAATTCGTTTGACAAAATATGATTAAACAACGCCAATGCGAACTGTTTGAGCAAACGATATTTGCGGTGTCGGGAAACTTTCGTTACAACCTCATACTTTTAAACTCGCACTATTTTATTAAGCATTTTAATACTTTAAGTGTGAAGTATCCATTACAACGAATTTTTAACACTTTTGAATTTTCTTTTGAGGTTTTTGATTTCCAAGAACCCCATGTGATCGTGCCTACAATGCCGAAGTTTTATTACGTTTGCAAGAATTCGCCATCCGCTGGTGTCAATGCATGGAAATGTTGATATGTGCGGTGCTACAGGTTAATACCGAGAAGAAAATGAGTGCAGTCACATTCCATTTTTGGCACTTAAGGAGGCAGATTGCATACTTACGCTTTGTTCGTTTAGTGGAATAAAGCAAACCACGCGAGGGCTATTTGCCTAAGAGGAAGGATGGCTTCAAGGAGTATTTATAATGAGAAGCACATTTTCAAGTATTAAGAATTTTCGTTTCGCGCCTTAAATGTGTCCTCCAAAGCTAATACAAATTCCCATAATAATGCATCGAAGAAGTGGGAATTAGAAAAAAAAAAGTTGTGAGTTAACTTTTATATTTCAGTCTGAGAATTATAGCACTAAGCTGTTAAAAGTGAAAATGATTCTTAAAAGCATGTAACTGGCAGGAAAGTGAAAAGTAATAAATACGAAAAAGCTAAGCTCATCTGTTCACACATTTAATAAACTATGTTGAATTAACCTGATGATCATTCAGAGAGAGTAAAATCACGAGGAATATACTATTAATTAGCTATGTTAACTAAGAGTCCGGCTGAAAGATGAATCAAATATCTAAGATAATTTCATGTTTATTAGTATACAATTAGTGCCAATGCAAAATATTTGGTAGGATTAGGTGTAACATCAGTTAAAGGTTTGTGAAACACAATTTAATTGAGATGAACTACGACAGAGAAAGAGAAACCTTTGTAATTGCAATCGCACCAATGTTTTGACTGAATGAAGTAAGTCCACTTCCAGTGCCCAAAATTCCAGCAACAACACAACCTACTCCTTCCATCATAATACCTCTGTTTATAGCGTGCATCGGGGGAGGTGGAGCTCCAGACAGTTTTGCACAGGCGTAGTAATCTCCCACAGACTCAACAACAGAAGCCACAACCCCAGCTATGATTCCTAGAGCCGGTCCTATATTGAAAGTAGGCACTCCAAATTTTCCTAAAAATTAAACATTTCCTAGAAGAATAATCTGTGATTTTTAACAAATTAATTTCTAGAATTTCTAAACTCAAAATATTTCAAAAAATGAAGTTTTTGATCATCCTTGCCAGAACAGGGTTTTTAGTAGATATATAGTCGTTAAAGTGCATAAAAAATAATATTATAAATAACAAAAAGAAAATGCGAACTCAAGATTGGAAATTATAATTTCCAATCTTGAGTTATGAACTATAGTTCATAACTCAAGTTATAGAGCTTAAAATTATGAACTATAGTTCATAATTTTAAGCTCTATAACAGAAGAATCCGAAACTTCTTCACTGAACTTGTCTCACAGTACCCCGCATATCGAATTGAATATAAGGTAATAGAACTGTTGTTCTAAATAATAATTTATTTAATAAATAATAATTTATTTATAACACCAGATTTATATTTTTTTGAATTTTTCATTTGTAGTTCATGTATGTAATATTACGAGCTAACAATTATATAAAATAGTAAGCAGATGATAAGATAAAAGTATTAAAACAAGTTAACGAAAACTTTATAAACTTTACTGAAAAAATATAAACCAGTATATATTATAAAAATAAAAAAAAAGCGAAAACAATGAAGTACTCATAACATTTCACTGAATATACATTCACAAACGATTTCCACTTTTACTTAGATCTTATTACATTAATTGCTTACAAAGAATGTGGTTTACATGTTGAGGCGGTGAACTTGCTTCTATGTTCCTAAACCAGACGCCCATATGGTACAGTGGTTAGGGAAGCCGATTGCTATACCGTTGGGCCCGGGTTCGAATCTCGGAAAAGGTATGGTTGTAACTGTCCTTCCCCTTCATAGAAGGTAACGGTGGCCGCATATTAGGTGCCTCCACAATAAAATGGCTACCACTTCCGGCCTTAGGAGTGGCCAATGCCGGAAAAAAAGGCAAAAAATTGCTCGCCGTTCGGAAGAAAAAAAAAAATTCGTAGACCAAGGCAGCAAGCCTGAAAAATGTTATGAAGACAGAGAATAAGATCTGATATTAATGGATGTAAGTCATTCTTTCTATACTATGTTAAAAATGAAACGCTCTTCAGCTTTGATGTCGACTGAAAAGCTCAATGCATCTTAATCGAGAATCAATGTGTCATCAGAACTTTTTTTTGCTGATTTTTGGAATTGCTTTTTAATTAAGTTCTAAGAAGCTGACAAAAGTTACATTTGAACAGGGGCGTAGCTAGAGTTTCTATCGCCTGGGGACAACTGAAGAATTTGCGCCCCTTTCTGTGTGCTAAGAATGGAAAACATTTCATTAAAAAATTTCGTAGCATCAGTTTCGCTCCCCTTGGATGCTGCGCCCGGGTACAGATGTCCCTCCTTGCCCCACCCTAGCTACGCCACTGCATGTGAAGGAAGCTATAAAACATTAAGCATAGTTTAAAAGAAAGATAACTATACTTGCAATTAGTTGGATGACAGAAAGAATACATACGATTAAAAAAAAAGAAAAGAGAAGGAGACAGCGTTTATTTTGCTTCAGAGTTACTCTTTGCGCTTTAATGTTTCTAAGAGGAAGTGAACCAGTAATTCAGATATAGTAGTACTTTTAGTATAAGGTATGCAAAGTTTGAAATATGACCATTCTGTTTAAATAATACTCTTAAAATAAGTTTAAAAAATTTATTCATATGAATTTTCATTAATACAGTTTTAATTAATTTCTTTAAGGGTAATATTTTTAAATATTACTCGGCTGCAGTTTGATTGATATTTGTCATAATAAAAACTTATTCATTTCGTTTTTGTTTGCATTCCCTTATAGCATTTTGAACAAAGAAGGAATAATCTTTATTTTTTACCTTTGTCAGCAAATAACTTATCGTAAAAAGTTTACATGTCATTAAATCTTTGACGAGTTAAAATAAACGCTTCAATTATTTATCTGCACTAACTATTATATTTTTTGAATGGTACCCAATAAATTAGCCTATAATGCTAACAAATCAATAGAATTGAATGCTTGAAAAAAGAAGCATATCTAGAGGAAAACTCTGGAAGTTCCAGTGTCTGACAGGCGAACTTAGAATACTTGGAATACTTGACAGAATCAGCGTCTGACACATAGTCTTAAAGCTTAGAGATTTTATGAGATGTGTGCAAGTAATATTACGTTATTAAAGATTAATAACGGGCGTGAATGCGAGTAATGCAAAAAGGATTAATTTTTGTTTCAGACATACAATACGTTAAAACGATTTTCATAGAGTTATTAATCTCAAGCAATACCTTAATTAAATTTTATTTTTGCCTGAAATTTGAACTCTGAGAATTTAGTTTAATCTGCAGCGAAACTTCATTATAAAATTCAGCAGAAATGAAATCAGAGATCTTGAGTTAGAGAAAAATACCATAACATTTTAAAGTCTACTAAAACTAATACATCTATAAAGATATACATGTTCATCTTCTTTCTTCATTTATAACAGTATAACTATATATATATATAAGTCATCAAAAATACAGTTCTGTATAACTTACCGGGATATGGCACAAGAAACCAAGGCGACTTTCTAAGACCTGATAACATTTTATCGGTCCGAGCATCATTATTAATGGGAAGAACGTCTGCGGCTGTTAATATTGCACACAAGCCCCAAGTCATAATGACCGTCAGCACTATCTAAAATAGTTCACTTTAGACATGAAAAGCTTGTTAAAAATTAGAATAAAATAAAAACCATTTTGTGGTAAAACATGATTTTGCATACATGACATTCAAATATGATCCTAAGTGTTGGATTTTCCCCGCAGTGCTTCGTACTGTACAATAAGTGATATTCTAATTTTTATATACTATCTGCAGTGTAGTGGGAGTTCGATCTTGTTAATTACGTATGGCTCCTCAGTATACCGATAAGTATATAGAAAATTACCTAATCCCATATTATAAATGTCATGCTTCAATCGTTCAAACAGTTTTGTTACACCAGGAAGATTTACACAATTTAAAATTTTAGATCATGACAAATGTTACTTTCCATATTGTCTACGAAAGCCAGGTCAAAGTTTATGAGGCTGAGATCCCTTCCCTCCTCCTAAACATTTATCGGTAATGTTTTGCTTTAAGTCCTAGCCAGAGGCGTATCGTGGGGAAAGGGACTTCGAAGCCATATCCATGAAAGTACATATAACTTGAGTTTTAAAATTTATATACTTAGTAAATGTACTTATATGTAGTAATACAGAAAAGAACGAAGTTAAAATAGGTTTGCATTGAAAATGTTAAAGTTTATTGTGCAATGAATTTCCAGGAATCAGTCCCTAATTTTTATCTGGCATTAAAGACTTTTTTGACAGGGTGAGTTTCAGTTGCTTCTTGCGAGAGAAACTTTTCAAGGTTGAAGTTGATTAAAAGCTATGTTCCACCAATGATGAGCCAAATAAGACTTAACGATTTGGCAGTCATTTCCATTGAATATGCGGTAACTAAAAACATTAATTTTGATGAAGTTATGAAGAAATTTTCAGAAGCGTGCAAAACGTTTCAATTTTTTTATTCACGAAAAAGTTAAAAACAGTTTTTTAAACCATTAAAAACGGCATATTAATAAACCTTTTTAACTATATCTTTCTTTACTAGATGTAAAAGCTTTGTTTTCCAAATAATTTTAACAATTTAATTTTAATTAAATAAATGTAAATTATATGTTTGTGTGGTCTCGATAGCTGTACGTCTGCTCTTGGTCGTAGGGTTCTCTACCTACACACTAATCGCTCTCATAGGAGCGATGAGTCAGAATATTTAAGGTCCCTTACTATATCACGTGAAACATCGCGCAAACATCTAACAGCTCGGGATGCCCTAAAACAATGATGGAAAAAAATATCATCACCAAGAAAGAGTTGTGCTAGATAAACGAAGTTTGTTAGGTGTGTTTATACATCTGAAAGATGATGTCTATTAAAATTTCGCGCTAGGCGCAGAAGTGTAGCACTAGTAGCGCCACTATGAACATGCAGATCAGGTCTGCTTTAAATACGCGCTGTAAAGCTTGTGAACGTTATTTGTTGAGATTTAACATAGTGAGTTGTTATTAAAAAATGCCGTTAAGAAGATGAAGAAGCCATTATCAACAGTTCGGTGAGTTTGAACGAGGTAGTGTAGTAGTGCTACGAAGGTGTATTTTCTTGCCTCGATATTGCAGAAAGACTTTGCAGGAATGCATCCACTGTGCATGATTGCTGGCGGTAGTAGTCAAGGAAAGGTACTGGCTCAAGAAGATTGGATTCCGAGTGGCCACGTGGCACTACTGAAAGGGAAGACTATCGTGTTCGGCGTATTGCTGTGGCGTATCGTACTGTGTCTGCGGCAGAAATTGGAGCTGCAGTTGGCACCACAGTGACACATTGAATTGTTACAAATCGGTTACTTGAAGGACAGCTCCGAGCCAGATGCCCTGTAGCATCTGGCCCAAGATTATATATTGAGATGCATTCCACTGACTCCAAACCACTGCCGTTTGCTACGTCAGTGGTGTCAAACTAGAGATCATTGGGGGACAGAGTGGAGATCTGTTGTATTTTCTGATGAAAGCCAGTTCTGCCAAGGTACCTGTGATGGTGGTGCATTGGTTAGAAGGAGGCCAGATGAACACCGACAACCAACCTGTCTGCGGCCTAGTTACAGTGGACCTACACCTGGAATTGGAGTTATGGTCTAGGTAGAAATTTCCTATGACAGCAGGAACACTCTCGTGGTTACTCCAAGCACCCTGATATATAACATCAGTTTTCATCTAATCAGATTTTATTTATCAAAGATCTGTAATCCTTCTGACTCTGTAACGAGAAACGGCCAGTTACAATGAATAAAATGTATTTTATCAGCACAGCGAATGATTTTCTTTTTTTCCTCGGAATACCAAATATTAAATTTTGCCAAGGTTTCCTTCTTTTGATACATTAAAGAATAATTACAAAAATTAACCTTGGTTTAAAAATTAGGTAAAACTTTAATGATGTGAGAATTATGATGTGATTTCTACATTTATTTAATCCAGCAGTTTCACAGAACAAAAAAGTATGATTTGATTTGAATCACAAATTCATTAAACAAGTGCTTATATAAATTCTGAGAAAAAAATTAACTAATTCTTCTTTAACATTTCATCAGCTTCTTTACTTTTTCTTTGTTACAGTAATCATATTATGCAAAATCAAACAAATATTGCATTTCAAATTAAAAAATACAATTCGTCTGAGTCCGAGAAACTTACATAAGCTGTATGCTTTTTATTAAACTTTTTATGACAGAATAAAGTAAACTCTTGACAGTAAAATTGGTAATATATAGAAAAAGCAAACGTTTAGAGGTATTTTGAGTAAAACAAATCTGTAAATTAAAAATTTATAAACTTACTGGAAATAATTTGAAGAACGGAAACCAGCTCACATGGCAGCTGTTATTCTTTGAATAGGAACATTTCGGCATCTTTATTTCAGCCATATATTGAGAGATTATGATCAGAAGGATAATTGTGCTAACATAAACGTTATATATTATTTGGGTGAAAAATGTGAATGCTGTTTATAAAACTTATAGGATATTTGACAGGAAAAGAAAATGACTTTTAAAATAATATCAAGCGTTACAAGGGTAAGGCATTCATGAAACACCACTTAAGCTCTACAAGTTAGTATTTTCTCAAACAAAGAATATTCCATTTATAAAGTGAATGTCTAAAATTAAATGTAACAGCGAAAGCCTTAAATGAATTTTATCGAATCAGTTTTAGAAATCCATTTTGTTTGCTAACTTAAGCGGAAAGATTACCAAATTTTGATTGCTCTTCGTTACTAGAAGTAAGTTTTAACCGCACGAAAAGTAACGAAACAATTTTTCGAGCAATTTTATAAAAATATATGTTCTTTTGGCTTAAAATTATTGTGAAATAGCTTAGGAACCGCCTCTGTTGTGTTATATAACACCTTGAGCCCCACTATACAAAAAAAGTTGTTTTTCATTGAAAACATTTTTGATTAATATATCATAAATTTTTCCTAATGCCATGTATTATATTTGTAAAACATAATATTATATTTACATCTGTTTTTAGACTATAATTCGTTGGCATTCATTATTTATACATAATGTCCATGTTGACTAAATAAATGTTGTGTGCATTTGGATAGCACTGAATGCGATAAAATTCAATCTTACTTTTGCTAAATACAGCCAAAAAGGGAAAAAAGGATAAAATTAGTCGGATTAGCATAAAAATTATTTTTATTTCCCGAAGGCTAGAGTATCTGACAACACAGGGTTTTGGATGAGCATCAAAAAGCGAAATACAAAATATTTTATAAAACTGCGGCAAAATCTTTTACTTTTCTCCAGTCCTGTGCTATTACATGCCTTTAAATGTTTCCTCCAATAATGAGAAACAATCAAAATCTGGTAACTTTATATATTAAACCATCAGAAAAAGAAGCTTCAACATTTCTTTCGATGAATCTGAATCGTCAAATTTTAACTTCGGCTCTCTTTATAAATGTCAGTGTTCGATTTTCATTTCATGTATAAAATAATATTCATTTAAACAAGCAATTCATAATATAGAGGGGAGGCGGTATTTCCATGAACACTCTTTATACATTATACTTGGATTTATAAGTTAAAATTCAACCTTCAAAATTGCTCAACATTGATTTTCTATGAAATTATATTGATACAAACAACTTATATAATTTATAAAGTAATAGCCTATCATTTCTTTAATATTTTGTTTTGACAAAGGCTTTAGTGCTTAGTACGATTTATCGATTTTATGAATAGTTTGTATTCATTGCCTATTTTCCTAAATTGTGTCCCTTAATTTGATTTATTGATGTGTGATTAATCTTATTTTTTGATGATTATAACGGATTTGAGTCAGTATGTTTCCAGTCCCTTCATTTTTTTTTCAAAAGCTCTTTTATTGCATATAAATTTACAAATCCGAGTTCACTATGACACACGATGTATTTGAAAAAAATCCTGCTCTAAAATCAATAGAAATTAATCGCACAAATGCAATTTAGTAAAAGTCAAAAATCAAACTTTCAGGCATTGTAAAAGTTGAGACAGAAAATCGCATGAAAATAAATTTCTCTTTCAAAGGAAAATCAACTTTATAACTGATAAAAAAGCCACTAACCGGAATATTTGAAGAATTACCAATAACAGAATTCATGTCATTTTAATCAAAAAAGGCGTAAAATACCGGCACTAATTGCCAAGGTTGCTAGTTTACAAAGACAGCAATTTTGTGCTTTCTACTTTAATATACTTGTTAATATTTTAAATCATAATTATTTATTATCCGTGCTTCTTCAAATTTTTTGATTAACATTCCAAAATGAAAAGTGTTAATGTGCATAATTAGCTAAAAAAATCACTTTCACTTACAGAGCTGAAATACCCCAGTTTCCAGAAGCTTGTTTTGCAGATTCTTTGAATAGTGACAATCCAATCAAAGTAATTGTTGGAACTATAGCTAAGGGAGTTATCCACTTCATTAGCAAACCAATCAAACCAGTTAATCCTACCAGGACTTCAACGTAAGATCCAGCAATAATTGCTCCTTGAATCTGTAAAATATATATTTATTCAAGATTTACTTAAACGTATAAAATAGTCAAAATTTCTTACTATATTTAAGTGGTTACAAAATTCGTTTTGAGTTACTAAATATCATTGCAAACTGTATTGTTACTTAATGATTTCACACATAATTTTCCTAGGAAACGTGACTATAGAATTATAGATTAATTTTAAGCTGCCAGAGTTAATTGCTACCTTAGGGTTTATATTGTGCAATATCTGCTCTTAGCCAGCAGCACTCAAAGCTATACAAACTCTCTGTTTCTGTGATATTTTACTTCAATATTGACTTAAAGTCCGTATTCTTTATGAATTTAAATTTAATTCCATAATGACCGAAATGTAAAGTTTAAAAAACGTGCGAGGCTCTTTTAAGTTTGTTCTTCTAAAAAGCAGGGAACTAAAACTTTGCTTGTTAATATTTTCATCTGAAATGTAGTTTTAGTTATTTCTGTTTTTCGGAAAGTCTTTGTGGTTTCGTTTGCAATGCAATTAAAGTTCTATAAACAATTTGAAACTTGTTTTGTGAAATTTAAGTTGGGATGCTGCTGTTTAATTGGAAGGGAAACTCACTGCTTGACCTGAGAAAATATAAGTTTAGTTTAAGTTAAACCAAAAGAGAGAGTAATACTTTAAGAATTAATAAATTTAAGCAACTAATTTTTATTTTGCGAAAATCTTCTCTATCCTAGCATTTTAATTTAGCTTATGCATACTGAACGCTCCAATAAATTTTTTAAGCAGCGTTTTTTTTTTCCCTCTGAGTCGTGAAAGAGAAGGAACTGATGTTTTACGACCTGATTCTCAAATCACAATACCAATTATTTAACAAAGAAAAAAGTTCGCAATTAATTATTGATTAAACTTTCGCTTTAGAAAAATAAAAATAATTCAAACTTTTTTTGTATTCGTTAGAAAAGTAATAAAAAAAACTGTTTTTTCATTACGTAAGTATGCACCTTGAATTTTGTGCGTTTATAAACATTTGAAAATAAAAAGTTTCACTTTCTTTCTGATAAACGTTTTCCACAATCTAGATAATTCAAATTTACTTCTCGCATTCTAGACATCCAGACTTCGTCTTTTTCACTGTCCGTCATATTTAGGTATGTTTCTCTGCTCGGACATTTCCATTTTGGAAGAGCAAGAATCGTAAGCACTGGAATCAAGAAAGACAAAGATGGCCCTTGAATTATGGGCAACCTAAAAAAAAAGGCAAAGTAGCGCTGAAGAATATATGCAATCCAATTTAATCAGGATTGTTTGGAAAGTATTTATTAAGTTAAAAATATATTAAATTATTTATAAAAGATTCGAATTTCTTGCTATTCGCTATTTTAGATGGAAGTCAAGCCTACGAATGGGAAAAATTGGCGTTAATATAATATATATATATATATAACCCTGTTTTATTACCCTTGTAATTTGTTATCGTATAAAAAAAACTTTGAACCGCTTTTCATGATACAAACAACTTATATAATTTATAAAGTAATAGCCTATCATTTCTTTAATATTTTGTTTTGACAAAGGCTTTAGTGCTTAGTACGATTTATCGATTTTATGAATAGTTTGTATTCATTGCCTATTTTCCTAAATTGTGTCCCTTAATTTGATTTATTGATGTGTGATTAATCTTATTTTTTGATGATTATAACGGATTTGAGTCAGTATGTTTCCAGTCCCTTCATTTTTTTTTCAAAAGCTCTTTTATTGCATATAAATTTACAAATCCGAGTTCACTATGACACAATGCTTAAAATTATGCTTAAAATTAATCTATAATCTATATTCTTTTTTATGCGAAACCTGACTCCGTCATAAGAAAATATAGTAAATTCGAGTTAGATAAAAGGAAGTAAGCTGAGCCAAGTTTCATGCGAAATTTCTCGCGTTATTTGAAAACTACACTGGCGTTCAAGATAAAGGCAGTCTACATATTTTTGAACATTTTCTTGAAAAATACTGAACTAAAAAGTAGAAATTATGCTACCAAACAAAGCAAGTCTTTAGCGTCGAATACGCAAGCTTACGCGTGTGGGGTTGGGAGTATTTAAGGGAAAGACCATTAAAAGCGCTCGTGAGCATTTTCTAAGCTTTTTTTCGCTCACACTGCTCAGTGAATTTCATAGTCAAAAGCAACCGCTTAAAATATGTAACTACCAATGTTTGGATCAGTCTTTGTAACTGCTACAAGGTGTGCATGTGAGATCTTAGACACCTATGTTTGCCTTTTCAGGCGTAGAGTTGACCTTAAGTTCATTTATATGGGTGAAAATATATGTGAATATATATATGGATATATATATATAGGAAAATTTATATAGATTGGCAAGCCAGATCTTCAGATCTATACCCATAGAAAATATCTGATATGCTCTTGGAAAAGCGGTTCAAAGTTTCCTTTTCCCTCTCAGGACCTGATAACAGCGTTTCTGCAGGAGTGCTACCGATTAGCAAAGGGACTCAGAAACTGCTTCGTTTTTAAATAGGCATTTTTTTTTTTTTTTTTTTTTTTTTTTTTTTGCTCGATCTTGCAAGCAATGTTTTAGACCATCCTGTGCCAATGAGCTTAAAGCACGATCATGCTTGTGTGTCATGACCTGTTGTAAGATATGTGTTTTTGTATAATACAAGCCTATAACCATATGAAGTTTCAATAAAATGTATCCATCATCTCCGAAGATAATCGATCAAATTTGAAAACTCACTTAATTTTGAACACCAGTGTATCTAAGATATCAGAAAACAGTTAGTGAAAAGGAAAATATTCTACAATGGTTTAACTGTTTCACACGAATTAAAAATTTGAGCTTACAGAAAAGAATACAAAATTTAAAGAAAATAACATATTTGAGATTTCTCCTATAATTAGTACGACCTACAATACGTATCTTTTAAAAATAATTAGCTTTGGAGAATTGTTTTAATCGGAATTCAGTCCTAGCTTTACTCACCCTCAGTTACAAACACTAATCATTTGATGATAGTAGAATCATAATTTCATTTAAATTGTACGAATTAGCAACGAGATGAATACTTCTTACAAAATGTGAAAAAGAAAAAAATTAATTCTAGTTTACAAGAATTCTGGTAATTAGTTATTGATAAAATATTCAGGTTTAAATCATTTTTAAAGGAAATGCTTCTTAAATTCATTCTTCTATTGAGGCTTTACTTTGCATATGTATTCAGAAATAACAAATGCTTTTGTCCTCCCCATTTTTAAGCCTTTTATAATTTTTTCAAAGTGCAATTATGTATACATAGGAACATTTAAGTAAACCTTTATTTCATTTTTGAATTTGCAACTTTTCTTTACAGTTCTGAAGTCGGTATCGATTTTCTTTCTACACTTTAAAATCAGCCCGATTACATTTTCCACAGAAGTAACTGATTTACAATCTTCAAAAGTTCTTCTTTACATATTTTCCTTTTCAATGAATTAAAGTTTACATAAACTAGGTTTTGTAATAATTCACGGTTTATACATAGACACCTTACAAATATTTTTTGACAATCGCATCTGGTACCTTAAAATCAAGAATTAAACTCACAAATTCATCTTTGTGTATCAACTTCGATTTCGTTTGCATTGATTGACAAACAATCCGTCCAGTTAAGAAGGAAGTTAAAATCAGTTTTTTAGTTCAAAATTTCTTTGCTGCTCTACACTAGCTAGTGATTACATTCGAATTCAAGATATTTTATGTTAAATAAAGAAATTTTTGTTAGCGAAATTTGATCAGTATGAAACATTTTATACACGTCTGCAACTTCGCCATGTAAAACAGTTTTAAAACTTCTGACTTAGAACTAAATATTAAATTAAAACTTTATTCGAAGTCTTCTTGAATTCAAGTTACTATTTTTAATCATATGAAATATCAAAAAAACTGTTTTGGGTAACTCAATTTTTGAATTTACCGTGTTTAGCGACTGACCGTCTTTTTTGCGGTACTTAAATACATTATTTCTTATATTATGTTTGTAGAACTGAAAATATAAAGAAAATATTACCTTGTTTAATTGACCATTTCTTATTACAAGAAATATTTTATGCATCATATTTGTTTTTGGGAACACATATTCAGAATCTCCGCACTTTTTTACATTGTTTTACGGATGATAACATTTTAAGACAAATCCTGACAATTTAATTTTGCAAAATTAATTAGAATTATTCCTCAGATAGCATATTAAATCTTACCTTGACTGAGGAAGCTTGCGTTCTAGCTAATTTATCTACCTTTAAGTTCACTGATCAATATGAACTTTTTTTAATTCCCGAACTTCTATTTTAAGCTTAATTTTTTATAATTTAAACTATGATTTTCTATGATGTTGTTGTAATTTTTACGTTATAAGAGAGAAGAAAGCAGCTCAGTCATTTTCGTTTATATGGATAAAATATTTTGTAATTATTATTGTGAAAGGCTTCAGCATATGTGTAAAGAATTATTGCTTTTCTTTATTTTTAAAACACAGCACTTCAAAACACAAAAATTCGTGCATACCTGCAACCAAAACTTGCCTGCATAATTGTTGCTATTCCTGACGCGAATAATGTTGCAGAAATGATTTCCCCTCTATGTGGATTATCATTTTCCATGCACAGTTCTGATGATATTAAGAAAGGCACAGCAATGGCTCCACAAAACATCGTCAAGTAGTGCTAAAATAAAAATATCTTTAGCGGTCAAAATTAAATATGTTAAGATGGAATAGCTTCATTTGAAATACAAATTTCATAACGCTATGTATAAGGTTGTTCGAGGACAGTTGTTATAAATTTTATTTCCTCAAATATTGATCCTATACATGTAGCTTCAGCTGTAAAATTTCTTAAAATATAGTAAAACATTTTATGAAAACAATTTCAACCCTACTGACGGGAGAATGAAATTTTTTATACAACCTTCCAAAGTAAAATTACAGTAAAAATATTCATTATATTTTATTTAAAACAAAAATTTCATGTCTTTGTGAACAAGATTCTTGGAGCTATTTGAAAATTAATTTACTGACTTTTATCACTTTTCAGCGCCTGCTGTTGAACAAATTTTAAACATTTTAGCCTCATTTCGGGAGAAAGTGGAAAGCAAAAGTTACTAGTTCCGTATGAAGCAAAACAGCATTATTCATTAATTTTCTAGCTGGTCCTGTGAAAATACTATTAACTCTGAATCTGTCTGGGAATTTTGCTCGCTAAAGACTACCTAATTAAAGCATAATAAGTATTTTACCCACTGGAATTTTTTCTCTACGAGAAACTTATGAAAGGTTAGATTTATGCTTAGAGAACTCTCTACACTACTAAAACCGTTTGCATAAAATACTCTATCTTATAACAAAGTATTTTATTGCTAGGAGTACAAATTTAGGATCAATATCTAAGCAAGAGGTTTATGGCTTCCTTTTTAGAACTAACTGTATAAAGTGTTTACAAAAGTTTTTCTGGAATGCGAGGCACTTAACTATTTACAGAAAAACCTTGCAAAAAATGTCAATAATTAGAAATTTAATAGAAATGGAAGTATTTACTAAAGAAAAATACAATTTCACGATATATTTTTAAAATAATTATCCATCCCGTATGGTGCGGTAATTAGAGCAGGCTGATTATCAATCCGAAATCTGGGACGTGGATTCATTTCCAATGTAAGGCTTGCTTGTTAGGCACTTTGCACATCTAGAAGTTATCCTAAATTAACCAAGAGTTAAATTATTTTATGACTTCTGATGTCTAAATTAATCATACATGACTGCCTGTGTTGCAAAGTGAAGAGAATTGAGGCTGGGGTAGAATGATGTCAGTTTCTAGAATGTATGAGAATCATAGTTTGTCTTTAGTTTGAAACGTGAAACAACGTTTTTATTTTTGATGTTCGTCCGTATTGATTTGATGTGTTTCATGTGCTTCAATAAATTGTTTCATGTTTTCGGAATGACACTTGTCTTTCTGTATTTTCAAAGCACCCTGCATAGATTAGATTCTAACCCGTGGATGAAATTACAGCTTTTCGTTTTCAACAGCCTGAATCCATGCTTTTCATAGTATATAAGTCTCTAGTATCATAAAAGAATTTTGTGAACGAGTAAAATCAGGGCATTTGCATATCATATGTCCAAGCTGTATCATCTGCAAGCATAACGTTTTTTGGTGTGAGTATAGATTATGTATACACATACCTGAAAAGCAAGTATGATAGCAAGATACATGGGAGGAGTGTCTTCCAGTTTGTATAAAACATCAGGTTCTGTCTCTCGTGATAAATCTGGACTGGCTTGAAGACTCATCTAAATGAACACCATACATAAGATTAATTTTTTATTTACTGTATCTAGCAGTTCATTGGTAATTGATAGTGGAATTAGATTTTAATTACTCACTGTAAGTTAATTTTATTTTTGAACATTAATATTAATTCATAATTGATTTTTGCCATCCAATAATTATGAATACAAAAAGTATTCCAAAACAGTATTTTAGTATTTGTAATTTAAGTCTTTTAAAATCAAAGGGAACCAACACGCTTATTTCAAAGAAATTCTTCCAGGTTTATAAAGATTAGAATTCTGTAAATTTATGTGCCAGATATGTGGGTTTCTGGCTGAATTTCCAATTTTAACTCATTTATTTTCTCGCTTATAAAATGAGAAACCATTTGCAAATACACATACGTACATGTAAAAATTACATAAAAGTTGGAGTAATTTGCTGCACTAAAAAAAAGTAAAAGGTAAAAGTTTCTCAAAATAAGGTAAAAAATTTTATTCAAATGCAGTAAAACCTCTGCTTAAGGACACCTCTCAGAAAAGGACAGTCATTATTAAGATCATGCTGGTCTCTTCAAAACTTAATAATTTTACATAGCAAAGTCAACTTTCATTTAAGGACATTCACAAGTAAGAACAAGAGCAACAAAAATTTACATTCCAGAAATTGTTACTCTTTGTTGAGAACGCTTATCAAATTATTGAATATACTCTAGCCTTGTTCACTTAAACTTGTCATATTTTCTCAGTTAAACCCACTCAGCCTAATTTTTATGCTGTTGAGCTGGGATATTATTCTCAAATAAAAGAGCTCAGTCTTTCTTCTCTCTTAAATTCTGTCAGTAGGAAATTAAATGGGTGAAACTTAAATTTAAGACTTCACTTCTTTAAACAGGTCTATTCATTCACTGTTCACAAAACAAATAATGTTTATACAGTTAAAAGTGTGGGATGTTTTCTTCCTAGTCCAGCTTACATTTTTTTTAAATCTTAATTTAATTAAAAATTTTAGAATTGTTTCCATAAAGAGTAAATATGAAATTAAAGAGAAAGATCATTATCTATCAGAAAAATATAAATGTATTTAATATGGCTAAATAAAGTACATAATAGAATAAGGACACTTGTAATAAAATTTTCTGTTAGCAAAATTCAGATTAAAATATTTCACTGAAAAAAAAAATTGAAAGAATAGTGTGAAAATGGGAATAAAAGAAAATTTTGCAGACAAAAAATGTAGCTGTTGAACAAGTAGTATGTGAATGGTTTTCTAGTTAACGAAATATTCCTATTTCTGGAAGCATAATTTAGGAAAAATCTCGTGGAGCTGCTTTAGAATTTTGGATACTGGAATATTAAAGCATCTAATGTATAGATAAGTTAAATAGCAAACATCAGTGTAATGTTTATAAATTTTGCAGGAGTAATTTCGATGGTTTAAATATAGAACCATCTTTTTCAGCAGCCTAAGTGCAAATGAACCCTGAAAATGAGCCCTCGAAACTCGTCTTGCAAAATCTGCAAACATTACGCTCATTGGTTGTGCCCAGTCATATGGGCACAACCAATGAGCAGCCGAAAGACCAAGCTACTGACCACAATTCAACGGCCGTTTGCATTAAACATCTGCGGAGGTTATCGCACAACAGCGTCCAGCGCCGCCACGATACTTGCAGGCCTGCTGCCATTACACATAAAGGCAGAGGCAGAGGCAGAGGCTACCTATGTACGAATCACCCATCACAGACAAGAAGCCAAATATGCAGGAATTACGTTCAGAACAACAGACTATGAACTCCCTGGCAGTGTGCAACACATCCACCCTGCCATCAAAGGTAGAGGGATCCATGTCAAAATCCAAATCAGCAATCGCACTCCAGACACACACTTCCTCTGCGATTACACAACTGTTCACTGATGGATCAAAACATGATCAGGGAGTGGGATGCGCGTTTGCTCACTACGAACATGGCACACTAGAAAGGAATGGAAAGGACATCTCACTAACAGCAATAGTATCTTCCAAGCAGAGGCACAGCAATATTGAATGCGCTACGACATGCCCCAACCTTTCCCTTACCAATGCGACTTTTACACGGGCAGAATGTCAGTGCTACACCGCACTCAGGGATCATCACCACAATTCACCCATCTCATAGATATTAACAGCAACTTTACGCAATAATCATCAAGCCGATTTATGGTACGGGAAAGGACCTCCGACAACGAAGGGAATGACGTCGCAGACCGACTGGCTAATGAGGCTGCCAACAACATCCCGCTCAAACTATAAGAGCCCCTACCCCCGTCTCACACCTCAAGAAAACTCTGCGTAATATCTGTAAAGAAAAGTGGCAAGAGAATGGAATAGTTCGACACAGGGAGAAGGAGTATAACTCTACCAAAGGTAGACACGGAACGTCTTATAACAATAGCCCACTGACACAGGTACATAACGGGTCCTGGCCATTTCCATCTTTTTTATGCGTCATGGCATTTCAGCATCTGACAATGTGTCTGTGGCATGCTAGGTTCTCCCGAGCACTACCTATTTGACTGCGGTCTAACAACAAACCACCACTTACCACATCCAACGAATGATTTAAAACACTTTACTATCGTTTCATAATCAAACACCCGCCAGCTATAAGGAGCATCTGCGCAGTTGTACAGCAAATCAACGCCCTAGGGCAAGACAATTGCGAGCCACAGTAGCATGGTACTGCAGACAATGTACTCAACGATTAGATATTCGCAGTATGTACACATTCTGTAATACACATTCCACATTCAATTTCGAGCCTCGTGTTAACATCTGCTTTCAATAGCCACCAACTTGCAGAAATAATGTTACTGACATGTTTATCAGTGCAAAGCACTGGGCACCCAATGGAATGATGTGTTATCGTAAATCGAAATATATAATATCCGTACAATGCACGAATGTAGTGTATGCAACGAAATATGTAATTCATGCAACAGAAGCTCCTAATGAAAGTATGTACATTATGTATTATGTGAACCGAGCATATTCCGCACAGCGCTAATGCTTTACGCACACCTTACTATGTCTCATATGTTTCTTCTGTGGGTAAATTTGCATTTATGTGCTCTACGTGTTTCCATATGTATTCTATGGTCATGATATGATTCTAGTGTGTGTTTTATGTCTTTATGTTACTAATTACGAGTGTGTTTTTCTGCTTTTACGTTTAATTTTGTATATTTATGTTTTCAGCTTATATTGAGTGTTCTAGTGTTTTAATGCTATCCTTTATATTCTTTTTAGTTACTTTGTGTTATTAACACGTCCTATGTTAAAAACTACCCGACATCTAGCACCTGTATGGCCATGTAAACTCCCGGTGCAGCCTCACGGGGCTCCAGCGAGTTGCTTCTTCGAGATAGTGGAGGACGTGGGACATATGCCTGTTTACCTATGTTATACGCCAGGCGTCCCCGTCCTCCGTCACCTGTCACCACCTGTATGACATAACATAAATTTTAAAGTGCTTTCCGATGAATTTGAAGATGCTAGTGTTGAAGTATGTGAAGACAAAGGATTAGTTTATTGATAGAATATTCTGAAAAAAAATTATTCATAATCCTGATGAAAGTTTTATTCTTTCGATCACTCCCAGAAAAACCACTTTATAAGAAGGAAAATCTAAAGGAGAAGAATTTTCTAAAAAACGATTAATTGTGCTACATTGTGTTAAAAGAGTTGACGAGAATAGGAAAGTACTTATTAATCGCAAAGCATCTCGACTCTGCTGTTAATTTAAAAATTCATATTTATCAAATTACCAGTTTATTATAGATTTAATTGCATATTACAATGCTTAAACAGATTATGTTTGATCGGTTAATTCAATTAAAAAAAAGGAATATTATGTTATGTACTCAGAATGTAATATCGCCTCCCTATTTGCAACCAGAAAATATGATTATCTTTTCACTATCCATCACTATATCAGCAATACAGATTTTATACGAAGCAACCCTTTATTCGTTTAGAGCAGTGTTTCTTAACCTGTTTTTCATGGACCCCCAAGGTGGTCATTGGGTCATATTTTGAGGGTCCGCCGACTGCTCCTAATTTTTTAAATGTTTGCATCAATATTTAAAAAAAAAAACTTTTTTTTGTCACGGGCAACCTCTGTAAGCCGTCTGTCTGCCATTTCTCAATAATAGAGACCTCCACAATACGAGGAAAAGAACATTCGCAAACCATATAAAATTTGAAATTTTTAGAAACGCAAAGTAGCCTTTGAATTTTACTTCACTTGGAAATAAAGTGACGTTAAAATTAGTTCCGCAAAGTTCTTGCAAATTTTTAAAACAAAATATTTGTTTTACTTTTCATAAGTTGTAATTAAAGTTTTTTTTTTCAAGTTTTTTTTTTTTTTTTTTTTTTTTTTTTTTTTTTTTTTGTGTGTGTGTGTGTCTTAATGTTTGTTCTTAATGTTTCATTGGATTAGTTGATTTTTTTTTGTAGCCAAAAATGTCCAAAAAAAGGAAGTTTGATGAAAATTATGTAAAATATGGATTCTGCTGCATGAAGGAATCGGAAAGCCACAATGAATGCATGAAAGATTGAAAAGCCACAATGCTTTCTGTATGGAAAAGTTTTCGCAAACGCCAGTATAAAAACCGGCAAAATTCATAGAGTATCTCAAATCTCTTCATCCTGAAAATTACATCTAAAGATCTAGAATTTTTTACAAAAAGAAGAAAGCCCAGTTTTCGAAATCTGGAACATTAACCAAACTTGGATTTGGTATTTCACAAAAACCTTTGGTTGAGGCATCTTTCAGAGTTGCATATCGTATTGCCAAAAGTAAGAAACCGCATACTTATTGGAGAGACATTAATTAAGCCATGTGCGCTGGAAATGGTTGAATTAGTTTGTGGACTGGAACAGAGAAAAAAACTTGAGGCTATTCCATTGTCCAAGGATGTGATACATTCAAGAATAGTTGAAATTTCATTGCAATATCTTGAAACAGATCATCGATGAATTGAAAGCATCGCCATTTCCCTTTAGTATGCAACTGGATTGAAACTACAGACATCTCGAATTGTAGTCAAATTCTTGTTTTTGTTCGTTACGTGTCTGCTGATACTATCAAAGAATAATTCTTATTTTGTGAGTTTCTTTTGCAAACTACAAAGGCAGTTGATGTTTTAGCGATTTTAAGTGTTTCCTTTTCCAAACACGACTTCGACTAGGAAACAAAATATTCATTCACTTTGTACGGATGGAGCACCTGCGATGATTGGCAATAAATCTGGTTTTGCCCATTTTATAAAAAAAGAGGCTCCTAATGTTATTGTTACACATTGTTTTCTACATAGACATGCACTGGCTACAAAAACTCTTCCAACCAGCTTAAAAGAAACTATTGTCAATAGCTTTATTAAAACTGTGATATTTTATTAGATGTAGAGCTCTTAATCATCGTCTTTTTAAAACACTGTGTCAAGAAATGAATGCAGAACATGAGGTACTTCTGTACCACACGGAAGTACGCTGGCTGTCACGAGGGCATAGTTTGAAACGAATTTTCATGTTGAAGACAGAAGTATCACTTTTTTTTAGAAGAAAACGATAACTCTCTCTTCGAATATTTCAAGAAAAAAGATTTTATATGTAAATTGGCTTACTTGGCACACATGTTTAACCACATGAGCGATATATGTCTTTCAATTCAAGGGCCTGATACAACAATTATGGATGCCACTGAGAAACTACAAGCATTTTTATTGAAAATATCCCTTTGGAAAATTAGAATTCAAAATGGGATATATGCAAACTTTCAAATATTGGACGAAGTCCTTTTTGAAAATGGATCTCGGAAAGATAGTTTGTTATTGAATAACTTGAAAATGAAATCTGTGAACACCTGGAAGTACTTCAAGTTTCATTTGAAAAACATTTCAATTCAGATGGAATAAATATAAAAGATGAGTTGTGGATTCGTAATCCTTTTCTTTGTGATATTAACTGTATCGATGACATGAACCTTGCCAAAGATGAGCTAATTCATTTGAGCAAAGTCCTTGTTAAAAATGGATTTTGATTCAAAAACTCTTGGAGAGTTTTGGCCTTCTTTAAGAGAAGCCTACCCATTGCCTGTAAAACGAGCTATGGCAGCCATTATTTCGTTTGCTACATTATATCTTTGCGAAGCGGGATTTTCGACACTTGTCACAATAAAAACAAAACATTGAAATAGACTGAATGTCGAACATTGATATGCGCGTTGCTTTGTCGAAAACCATCCCTAAATTCAATCTGTTAATCAAGGAAAAGCAGCAACAGCCTTCCACATTAAAAATTTTAATTTCTTCAAATTTTTTATACTATTGAAATAAAAATATAAAAATAATTAAATAATAAAACAGAATATATGTTGTAATAAATGACGTTTAAGCAATTTTTTTTTCACAGAGGGGACCGTGACATATTTAAAATTTTTAAAGTGGTTCATTGTGCCAAAAATGTTAAGAAACACTGGTTTAGAGCATCTTTTAACATCTTTAATTGTCAAATCAATAATTTCAAATATAGAACATTTGACATCTGCAACAGATTTAGCAAATGATATTAATATTTATTTCATAGGAAGAACTTAAGGGAAACAAGTACTATAAGTTATTTTACAAAAGCTGGTTTTTGTAAAAGATCTGTAGGATTTTAGCGTTGAAATTAATTTACTTTAATGCACATTTTACATTAATAAATGTGTTTTATCCAAATGTTATACAAGAATCGATAATGAATACATTTTAATTGATGAAATGGCAGCAGCAGAATGGGATGAATCAAACAAAATAGAAAAAAAAAATATTGACACCGAAAAAGAATTAAAAGATTAAGAAATTTAAAAGTTCTTTCGTTACTGAATTTTAGTGATGCATGAAGTATGTTAAAAACTCCAAAAGCAATTTTTACTCATTATAATGACAGTAAAAATTTCAAATTCATTTCTGTGTTTTATGTTCGCTTTGAAAATCACATTGTAAATACAGAATGCCTCCTCCCCCCAAAAAATCACTGATTACCTTAAACAAAATAAAATGTAGCATGTGCATTAATTTACATTTTATTAGTCATTATGAATTTAGTGTGTTAAATAAATTTTAAAACTGATAACACATTTAATATTAAGAAAAATTTGAATTCTATACTCCGGAGGTAAATTATAAGTTTTTTTGCTAACTTCTTATTTAAACACATCTGTTAATTAAAAGCACACTTATAAGACTCAAAAGTTGCTTTAAATGAAAGGTTTTACTAGCTTCAACTCTGAGGTAAAATGGTTTTGTAAATATAAAATTTAACTTTTTATATGATCTTCGAAGAGAAACAAAAGCATCAGCATAAGGAACATATTATATAAACGTGTTCATTATATAGTGAATGTATAACTAAATTATACAATGAATATTTCACTAACTGGATTACAAAACCTTCCTGTCCCCTACATTGAAACTCAAATCACAAAAGTTTCTACTTTACTTCGAGAAGTTTCATAAATGAAAATACATATCTGAGGCCAATATTTAAGCAAATAGATTCGTAGACACTTTCTTCGAACACCCTGTATACAGGTGAATATGTATCGAAATCATTAAACTGCTGGGAAAATTTAAAAAAAGAGAGGAATGGACGACCGTTTAAGCTGGAGCCAAAATGCTAATTAATATTTTTTCCAACCAGGACTTCATGAGCATCAGAGTACATTAAATTACTCATTTTTAAGAGTTACAGAAAGCAATATTTAATGATATACAGGGAAGTGGGGAGCTTTCATTTTACGTAAACGTAAGCAATTAAATTACATCTCTTAATGAAATGGATACATGTTTAGAAGCAAACACATAACAAATAACAAACTATTGCAGAGCAAAGAAATAACAATTGCAAAACAAACAAATTTGAATTATTTTTGTATATACTGTACTAATAATGGTTTGCATTTTATTACTGTTAGTGTGCTAATAAAACCAATTGGGAAATTATCTTATTAATGTTATTCTAGATCTGCTGACCGATGCGGTTATAAGCGCAGCACATCAGTAAATGGAAATATTCACAGCAAGAATTACAGCTTCCGTTAAGGGATTTTATTAAATTTGCCGAATATTATTTCTGCGTAAAAATGAGATAAATTGCACTTACAGAAATGCCCTCCTCAAGCCTTTTCGCCATTTTTGAAACGGTTTCTAATCGTAGCTGCTAGCAGTAGACCCGATATTGAGATTTATTAATCACCACGAGTGCTCTTTGAAATTTCACGCTTTATCATGTTTATTCTTACAGATGAAGAAGGAAGATAATATTAAATGCTGTAGCTCTAAATACATGTTACATCAAAAGTTCTCGGGGTGTTCAACTTAAGAAAAGAAAATTTGCCCTGAAAATAGTAAAATTCTAATTTATCTGATATATTTTCTGCCAAAGGAAAAAATAATAGTTTAAAGCAATTATCGTGTCTTTTCAAAATAATGTACCTATTTAAAAAGTCGTCCCAAAAATGCTTAAAATATTGCGATTAAATTTTCGACATTTTTTTCTGATAAAAATAAAAAAAGCCATTAGTTAAGCTTAAAAAAAGCTTTCTGTGATATATCTGGTGCAATTCCTACCATAATAATAATAATAATAATTTAGCGCAATTAGCCCATTATTTTTAAAATAATAGGTTTATCCGAAAAACCGTACCAAAAATGCTTAAAATATTCTCTAATTAAAATTTCTGAGGTAGTTTTTCTGATAAGAATAAAAGCAGCAAAAGGATGACGAAAACTCTCTCCTGTATAGCTTCAGAATCTATTTAAAACATCAAAGAAATTTTCCTAAAATATAATCTCTTTCTAACATTTTCATATTTAAGTTTTACTTTAAATTACTTTCGTATTAATACGAAAGTAATTTAACGAATAGCAAAGAAATTCAATCTAAATCTCAAGAATATTCTCCTTAGAATACTGTTTTCCAAACAAACGAAGTGTGGCTCTCATAAAAATTCAGCTTTATAAGTAAATAAAAAATGCTTCATTACCTTTTCCAAATGTCAGCAAATCCTTACATCTTCCCGCATATTACCTTGCTATAAATTTGTTAGATTTTTTATGGATTATTTTGGTCTACAGCATGCGTTCCGCTCAAGAGTATGCTAAATTTTGTCATATATATTTTCATTAATCACTAAGTTTATATTCTTTGAAAACGTTTTCTATAATCTTGACTATAATGAATTTTTTCCACATTAATAACAACTCTTTTTCAAAATCTGAATATAGATTGTATTAAAATTGATATCAATGTGCTTTTATTAGCAAAAAATATTGCGGGGTTTATGATACAGTTGGTGAATTGATTACTGCAAGGCAAATGCTGTCTGCATAAGTGCGACGGATGTTTTCGCGGAAAATTTTGGAAGATGAATTTATCTTGTACTCGCATTATACATGCGGAAAATTACAGAACATTGCTTCAGCCAGTTCAACCAGTCACTTGCGTGTAGAACTTTTGACAAATTATTAATATACTCCACTCGACCATTCATGGTCAGAGCTTAAACAAACGTACGTATTTAAAAAACCAATTCAGATTATAAAATGGAAACTTTTAAATTTTACTTAAAAACACGAAATGAAGTGGAAGATATTACATCATCAAATAAAATATATGGGTTCATTTACACAAAACTTTTAGGAGAATTACCAAGCATGTAGCTATCAAATTACTTTTGTTATTATTTGTACTTAAATTCTTTTTCGAGTAGTTCAAAATTCTGAGTTTATTCCTGGAGCATTTGTAGTTCACGTGCAGACATAAACACACATACACACTCGCATGCGTACACATATTAAAAAATGAAGGGGAATATTGAATTCGTATAATACCTTCGTCCAACATGTCAACTGGCCATTTGACTTAACTCGGCTACATTAATGTGCGTGTTTATGCTAAAAACCACTGCGAACAGATGGCACTCATAGCTGTAATCCAAATGCAAAACGCCTTGCAAGGAAAAAAAACGAAAGCTAAAGAATAAAGGCACTGGTATTAAAGTTTGGTTTGCTCAATAAATGCTATCGATTACTTTGGCTTGCTCAATAAAAAGGTATTAAAGGTTTGCTTAATAAATATTATTGATTACTTTGGCTTGCTCAATAAAAACGCAATAAAGGTTTGCTCAATAAATGTTCCGCATCTTAATGATATAATATAAGGTAGAATAACTGGACTGTTTGAAGTAAATTCTTGCCAATCGCAAGTAATTAAAAGCTTCAATGTGGCACAAAACATTGTCTCAAGAATGTGGAAAAGGTTTTTGAAGGAAGGACAGTTTACCAAACTCTACAGCGTATAGCATTCATATACCATGTATATAAATAAAGACTGCGGTAAACCTAGCAGTAACCTATTTCATCAAATTGAAAACAAAAGGCTCAACTTTTTATAAAAAATTAAAATCTTCATTTTCTTCACGCTCCAGAAATTGGCGTACTAAATTTCTGACTCACCTGTAGTGCATCTACTTAACGTGAGACATTTAAATATCGAATATATAAATAGATAAGTTACATCATGCTACATGTCTTGCATTAATATGACGTTATATGTTATTTAATTCTTAGCTTTATGTTTTCGAATTCTCTCATACTAATATATTTTCTTTTTAAATTGAAGTATCAAGTTCTGGCTGTTCCAAAAAGATCATAAAAAGTTTTCTTCATTGTATTATACAAATATAAATAGGTGTTTTTTAAATAAGTTTCTTCAAACTTATCAGTATAGCATTCTACGTCGTTGTGTACAGTAAAAAACATTTCATCGTTTAAAGTCAATAAATATTTAACCTCCTGTTATTACAAATGCTAGAATTTGCATTAGAGTAATAAGTAACTTCACATCAGAATTACGTTTTCATACGTATTTCCGTTTGATTATGAGATAAACGAATATAAAATTTGAACGATTTACAACAGTTTGGAACAGAATTTATTTTGCTTACGTTTCGCAAATAAGGAAAAGAGCAATTTATCTATCAGACATAGGCAATATTAGAAAAAGGCGAGTTGCTTCCTTGGAAAATTATTTATGCAAAATTGCAAAATATAGAATGTACTAAAAATTACGTCAAGTACTTTCACTTTCTAAGATCGAAAATATTTTGTATTCAAAATATATTACAAAATTATTTGCAAAATTTGTCGTTTTAGAAAACTGTAAAATATTTGCGCACTATTAAAACTAGCATGTTGGAAAACTGAGACACTAATTTACTACTTTTTTAGGCTTATAGTTTCACTTGTGAGCTGAGTAGAATTGAGGGAGAAATAACAACAGCTATCAGGTTCAGTGTTCCTCCTTACTTGCTTGGGGAACATTCAATGACCTGACTCGGAACAGGGAGCTTACTAAAGCTATGTTCAATAAATGTGGGAAGTAGACAAGATACACAGGAAGGGTATACGAAACCCTTTATTTTTTCTCTCTTTACAATGATTTCCGGACTTCGGAATACAGAGACCAACCACTTGTGGTCTGAACGTAAGAATATAAAAATATTAACTAAATTCTAACTAAACTAACTTTGGATTAATAAACAAGGGTCTACGTGAAGATTGGCCGTATATTAACAGAAAGGCCGTATGTAGTACAGAGAACTGTTAACGCTACGATACGTTTAAAATTATCAAGAGGATTAAACCTCTGGCCTGGAAGGCAACCAGCAACCGAGTAAAACTGCTAAGGCAAGCGGTCTGCTTCTACTAACTCCTTCTTCTTCTCTCTTGCTTGGCAAAAAGCCACAACTTAAGTACTTGGCGTTCGCAAGACAAATTTGCATAAATAAGTTAAAGCTTTTAATTCAGGCCGGAAGTAGAAAATAAGAAGTGATAGTAAAGATTTAAAATAAAATAAACGTTAGTAAAACTTAAGATCCTTCACAGCAACAGAAAAGAATATAATAATGATTTTTTTTTAGGTTTACCTACATAATCTTAGTCTCAGATACATTACATTTCTTGATTCAAAACTGCTACATACTTGATTCACATACTTTATTCAATTTTAAAGGAATTTGAATCGCATTTTTCAGCCCTTACAATATACATATGCTTCAACTTAAAATTTTATTTACAGTATACATACTTTCTCTAGTACTGATTTCATACTGCTTCTTTATAGTGAATTTAGACGTATTTTACAATCTTGATGATAAAATTACATAATCTTTCGAAAGATAATTAGTTAGATTGGGTTAAACCGCTGCATAATTGTTTCTCTTTGCTTGATTCTTTTTCTGGCCCACCAGCGGCCTAGCGGTAAAGTCGCTGAACACCGGTAGTTCGGTCCGAGGTTCGAATCCCGCGAACGGGCTGGCTGCATGGGTGTTTTCGTGGTTTTCCCCATGTGTGACGTGTATAAGAGCCAGTTTCCCTTAGAAAGTCCTCCACAAAAGGCATCCCTCCTCTTAGGCAGATAGCCCTAGTGTGCTTTGCCATAATTAAATACACCACAAATGATTCTTTTTCTTACAATTATTTTATAATGATCAAAGCTGACCTTTCCAGGCTCATCTGGAATTTGTTCTTCTGTAGAAGATTCTGCTGTATACTTGTTTTTATTTAACTACACCTAGACCTCGATGAATATTCTTTCATCTTTTCATCGCTTGGTGTTAAAATCGTATAGTTAAAGAACACCCGTCTCAAATTAAGAGAATTTTTACATTATGTCTAATTTCTGAAAAACTAAGGGACATATTTTATTAAAATTTGGAATGAATTTACATTTATAACAGAAAAATGTAAATGCATACCAAATTTTATGTCATTTTATGTACGCATGTTAATTAGTAAAGCTGATAGTTGTGGGATGTCCAAAATCCAAATTGCAATATCGAACTCAAAATGAGCCTAATATGGGCTACGGTTCCCTCTCACAGACCGACAGGTCGCTCAGCATAACGGCATACTGGACAGGAGGGAGCTGAGGAGTTTCTGTGGCATTCGATCTCACTTCTGCAGCAACGCAGCTTGCAACTGCGGGATTGTTCTCGGAGGGGAATGAGTGGAGATGAAATTGCTTTCTCAAGAGCGTCCCAGACATGCTGTATAGGGTTGAAGTCAAGAGTTCTGGCTGGCCAATACGTGCAGCAAATATCCTCACATTCTAGATAATCGTCGTCAAGCCGAGCCCTATTGAGGACAAGCGTTGTCATCCATTAAGAAACTGTGCCTCTAAAAAGTCTAACATAGGGCGTTAAGATCTTCTCTATACTTCATAGCAACCAGAAAGCCTTTGTCAAACACATGCAAGGGTGTGCGGAAGTCCAACATAATAACTGCCCAAACCATTACATCTTCATCACCGATTCTTTTCCCTGATGGAGCGAAGAATACGGATCCTTTTCGCTGATGAGCGAAGAATACGGATCCTTTTCCCTGATGAAGGAGGTATGGTATCGTGTTCCAAACTCTCTCTAAATACAGGTACGGCGAGAATCGGTGTCCAGGCTGAATTTCGACTCATCTTTAAAAAGCCCGGTGCTCCAATAATGTCTGGTCCAAGGGGCACGTTGTCTGCACCATGTTAAACACGATCTCTTGGGTGTTGCAGTGAGCGGGGCGCAGACAGCTGGTGTTCTGGCATACACCTATCCTCATGAAGCCTTCGGGTAACTATAGACTGTGAAACGCAGGCTCCAGTGCTAGTACACAGCTCATCTGAGAGCTGTGAAGCTGCAGGAATCCTTCACGAGCTGACAGTGCCAAATAACGATACACTGAGCTCTGTAGCCCCTTGCGTTTGTGATTGGTCTGCCTCCAGTCTAACGACAATTCTCCATATCATTCCGTCATCCATACGTTCGTGGCTACTCATTTTACCTAATACCTTACATAATTTACGAGAAATACAGCGAATGACGCAGAGGAGTATGAGTGTACAGATCGCTGAAAACCCTCGTGCGCTTAGATCCTCTCCACAATCACAGCTCAGCAGACACGCACGTATACGCTTATGTATTCGATTCTGAATATTTGCAAAATTTTTCGGTGGTATAATTAGTGCCCTAGGTTCAATACGTTTAGTAAAAATAGGCGTAATATGCAAATTCTCTTAATTTTGCACGCGAGAGTATTTAATGACTTTTTTGAAAGCTCAGGAAAAATGAGTGCAATTAGGAAGAACAAATAATTTTATCTGGTTTAATATAACCGGATACATTCTGGAAGTGTATTTCCAAATCCAAACATGTGTGAATATTTCATATTTGATTAATAGACGTAAAAAAATAATAACAGCGGTTTCACTGTTTTCAATGGAAATGAAAAGTTATAATTGAAATGAAACGTACTAAAGTAATACTCTGTACTCAATAATTTAGACTTTAAGAATAAAGGTTCAACAATATGCGGAATCAGAAAATGAATTTTAAAGAATGTAAAAATATATAATCAATTACTCTGATTTCTTAATATGCGTAATATTAAATGCGTCACGACGATATTTTAGCAACAGTTGCTGATTGTATATTTTAAGTGATACAAATAAATGAGAGTCTTTTTCTATAAACAGGTTTGTGGGTGAAAGTGTGCAGTCAATACTGTGTAGTGCAATAGCTTTGGCTTTAGAATAAATATAATAAGATGAAACAGCATTATTTTTTCATAAACATAAGCGTTTCGTTTGCTATTTTCGTTTCGACACGTGATCCTGATTCATGATATTTGGTAACTGAAAGGTCAGTGCCAGACTTTCAGATATGTGCATTTCACAATGGATACTGGAGTTATGTAGAAGCAAGTTGTATTTCGAGCTTATCTCTATAGACGGATTTGTTTTTAGAAAAGTTCTATTTTAATTTTACATTATATAAATTTTATGAACAATGAAGAAATTTTTAAGATGCTTCTGATTTTATTCCTGAAAATGTGGAAATAAAAATTATTCAAGAAATCTTCTACACACAGCGAACTCGAATGCATGTTTTGTTAATATGCCTATGTAAGATAAAACTGTAAATTAATAACTCACTCCTTTTTAATTTAGTTCTTTCTTTTGTCCTGAAAAGATTTGTAAGATTTTTATGTTAATTAACCCAATTACCTCATTATTTCAGTTTTACTTTCACTTCTGATTTAGTCAGCTCTGACCATAAAGCAAAATTAGTTAAGGTTTAAATAAGCTCAAAGTTATGTTTTTAGGAAGCGCTTGCAACTTAGGTTGATGTTACTTTACTTTGAACTTTTCTGATGACCCATTTAATTTATCAGCTTAAGCTTCTGATAGCCGCTGTTGCATCTTGAATATTTAGGGGCGAGCCTAAGTTCAGAAGCGAGAGTCTGTTTTGCATTTTACATATAATTTAATACCAGTATGAGTTATGATTACGCGCAGGTTAGCGAAATTCTGTTTTTAATTTTAATATTTTACTTTGAGTTGTTGTTCCAGTTAAAAAGCAGACGGGACGACAGTCTCTATGGTTACTTTGAGTGTCTGGTAATTTAAAGTATTAGAATAATCGCAAACAGTTATGTGCTTATAATAAATCTATCTGAAGTTGTGTCATTTCAAAATTAATTTTTGTCATATTGTTGCGAAATGCCCAATTGCGGTGAGATAGCTTCCCTGCAAAGTGCGATTAGGGTTGCAAGAAAGTGGCAGGAAAAGGCAGAGTTGCCAGATTTGGCGCGAAATCGCCCATTTGGCGACAAAATAGGCGATATGACACAGACGGAGCGAGATCATTCTAGATCATATTCTTAGCGCTTTTTCCGAGAATATTATCGGAGGTAGGTAAAGCTATATATACTCTGCCTGTACGGAGAGAGTAGTGGTATCGTGAGTTCAGAGATTAGCTTGAGAACGATCGACCGAGTTGAGAGCTGTACTTTAGTGCTTTACTGTGAGGCTGTTTTCACCGTTATACCCCAAAGGCTGTGTTGCTGATTGTTTCAGCGTGTTTATCGCAGTTTTTCGACTACTGTAAATGTGTCTAAAACTAACCTTGTAATACTGGCTAACAAAATGTGTTTTGATTCTTCATCAACAGGTAATTAATAACAATCAACCAAACAGTTTGAGTTAAATAAAACATTGTTTGCGTTTTCAAGAGTTGGTTTACGGTTAATGAACGTATAGACTTAATGGCTTGATTAAATGCATTTTACCTGATTTTGAAGATGCTGAAATTGCTGTAACTATAATTGTATTAAAACACAGATTAAGAATTAAGCAAAATATAGAGAATGCATTTATTGATAAGACTGAGTGGCAATGGCATATATGTAGCACATTTTTAAATAAATGATATATTTACAGTGATGTCAAAAACACATATATAATAAAATATTTAAGCTGTGCATGATGCCACAGCTAAGTTATAACATGGTGGCAAACTTTTTCATGATGCAATTAAAAATTTAATTTTTATATTGAATTAAATAGTTTGCATCATTAAAAGGTTACACAGCTGATGAACTAATAATTTTTATAAATATCGGTAAAAAATCCATCTTGGTCATTCTGTCATAATACCTACTGATATAACCAGATATCAGGATTACAAGCTGAATAGCTTTAGCTATCACATTATATGCGAGAGGATGCAGCATCCGAGTTCCGTTGTGACTTCATACATTTTCTGAGGTAAGAAATCCTGCTTTGAACACTTTCCTCATCATATGTAGGACTAATGGGTAAATAACTGAATAAAGGCACTTTTCGAAGCATTGGTGTTATAAATGGAATATCGTAAGATGTAGATGCTTTGGACACTGTGAGATCTGCATTGCCGTGCTCGTGTTTCTTCCATTTTAATACACCTCTTTCTTCATCTGTTCCTATAAATAAATAAAAAATACGTTTTGTTAGGAAATTTATTTATAGACACATTTTTTTTTGTTTGTTTTTTTTGTTTAATGAAATATTCTGATTGACATTATTTTAAGTTTTTGAAATTCACATTAATGGGATGATTTCTACATAGTATATGAGCAATGATTATTAAGAGGCAAATTGCAAAATGCTTCTAAATTTAATAAACTTTATTGCAGGCAAAAGGTTTACAAACTAGTGTAACAATATATTTAAAATACTTCTCAAGATCTCATTCTGCACTTACGCATTGCGTCAAATTATTTGGCTGAGAACTAGAAACGAATAACGGGTTCTTCTAGACAATGAGTTTCAATCACCTAAAGTCCTTGAAATCAAATATCATTAGCTGTATTAGTATAACATATTCAGATATTTCCGCTGATATTAAATTTTCAGATTTCTTTTAAAAGAGGAGAATAACTCGTTTGGGGGTTAAAAGCCCCACAGGAATTAAAGGCAATAAACAGTGTGTTTTTCGTGCCAAAGATGTACTGGTTTCAAATGAAGTTTTTCAAGATATTAAAGTATCTAAAAAGCAAAAGTTCCTTTAAAAAATATGTTAATATGACGGCTGGACCGTTGATTGCAAACTGACAAAGGGCACTTCTCAGAAGTTTTCCAAAGGTAAAATAAAAAGATTGTAAAGTGATTATGCGTTGAACCAAGTGTTTATAGATTATGGAATATCCCTTGGTTATTTTAATCGTTGCAAGGTTAAAAGAATTAATTGCATGTAAATGTGACCATTTTTTGTGCATAACCTAGCAGTAGCTTTATAAATAATCAGACAGAATTCTACCAGTCTACCAATCTTTTTACCGTGAAACATTGCAGCTTTACAAAGGAAATCAAGGGATCACTTCTAAGAATACGAAAATAATTTTAAATAATATCTACAGTTCGGCATAATTTCTCTAAAAATTATGTTCGTAACAGCTAATCGTTTAATAATATTTTCAAATTATAGTCAGGAGATTTTACGATCGCTCAATATTAACTTCATAGACCAAGAATTCTCGACTGGAGGGGGGATTTCATAGTTTTAGGAGGGGAATGCGGTGAGTCTTTCACTTAGTTTCAGATTATCAATATAAAAAATTACTTTTATTCAAATTTTGGTATTTACAAACATTTTCTTTACTTTTTATTGTTTAATTTGTAAAATAAATTAGAAAATAATCTAATTCTAAATAAATGTATATATGCTTTTTTAAAGTTTTGGAAAAGAAGGGGGAATGGTCTTCTAGCAATGGTGAAAGGAGTAAATGATCCAAAATTTTATAAGAACCACTGCTATAGACTCTTACGAAATTTTTTGCGATCACTTTGTACTTTCAGTCTTGTATTCTTTGCTTTCAAAGGAAAACATTAAGTTACGGGAAGTGATATGATGATTTTTAATCCAACTGTATAATACAAAAACAGAAACTTACCAGGAATAGTGTTATCCAACACGAAGCCTATAAATCCGCCAACAAGCATGTTTGTGCTCATGAGAACTGTTGCAATTTGGTCGAAGATGGAGCTACCTAATTTGCCCCCCAAAAGGAAGATATTAGTTCTCATTATTTATTCCAAATTTTAAAAAAATATATATTGAAAAATAAATGGAAATTTTAGTTAAAAATTCAAGGGAAAAAAAACTCTTCAGGGTGTTATTGTTTCCAGTTTACATAAAATCATATTCGTGATAAATATATATGATTGTTAATCGACGATAGATAACTGTGTATTCCTCATTACAGCATAAGCTAATCAACTAAAAATCACCTTATCAGGGCATTTTAACAAGATTTTTTAGTGTTATTTTATATCACGAGAGTCATAAATATGGTTTTAAACAAGAATAAGAGGTCGATTGTAAAATTTCTAACTTTTTTTTTCCGGATGAAACTTCATAGTAACACGTAGACTGAAAGCCTCTTTATATATTTAATTTTTCCCCCGTTTTTAACATTTTCACGTACTTCTGGTTATATGCATTTATTTTCAAAAAAGAAATGCGGATATAAACGCTAGCGTTTTTTTTAATTGAAACTTTTCTTGAGTTGAGATATATAGTTTTATTCAACTGTAAAGATTTATTTTTATGAGTTAGCAACAGTATATATTATTTATGAGTTAGCAACAGTATAGCAACAGTATATATTTAAGAAAAACAAAGAAATATTTATATGATTTTTGACATTTTAAAAACCTTTCATATTTTAAATTAAAAAAAAACATTTAATGGTAAACTCTTCTTCAGACCGCAACCTAAAGTCTTGAAATTTCAAGTTTTTTAAGTGATGTTTTGTAAATGATGTTTGTTCAAGTTTTTTAAGTAATTACTGTAAAACTACGATCTGAGCTACGTAACTGGTCTAATTTGACTAAAACTACGATTTGGGCTACGTAAATGTAACACAATGTGGGTTTTAAAAATATATATTCCAAAGGGCAATTTGGATGTATCCCAACATACTTAATCATCATGTATCATTCTTTTTGCTTTACTTTAAACGGTGTTTTCGCAGGGATTACGAGTAAACTATTCCTTTTATTTGTTGTATTTTCATATATAAATTTGACTCATCAAGTTTAGTTAGAAAAATTAGTTATCTCCTTCACAATATTCAAGTTTCTCTTTTATGATATTTATTCAGAGAGAGACATTAATATATAATGAGCCCCTGATACGATGCTGAAAGTCATTACCTTACTTTATGAACTAACTTCACAATTCATCGTATTATATTGGATATCGTATAGGGCAGATGGCTAAATATACAATTCATATTCTTGATCGTGTTTAATGAGGAAAAAAGGCTTGCATTTAAGATGCTCTCCCATAAATGAACTTAGACACATTGAAGGTTTTCAATAAGAAGGATAACTAAGGGTTATTAATAAAACTAAATATATTTTTATGTGTTACGCATAAAAGGAACATGGTTTTCATAAGAAAATTTCTTAGAGAAAAATCATTATATACTAAGGTTACTATTATATTTTTAAATTTTATTGTTATGATGACAGAATAAGAAATATGAAATGAGAGACAAAAAAAACCTATTACCAGTATTAATAACACCAGGATGAGCTTGTAACCATTTAGGAATGCATAAGCCCATAAAAATAGAGAATCCGAGAACAAAAAGGTTCCTAGATGAATTTAAATCTACGAAGTGTAAAGTGGATAAACCAACAGCAGTGATCATCGAGAACATGATGCAGAATACGCCTCCAATGATAGGTTCTGGAATAGTTATAAACAGTGCTCCAAATTTTCCTAGCAGACCAAATACTATCATAAGAACCGACCCGTACTGAATCACCCTGCGGCTTGCAACCTAGAAAAGGAAACCGTTTAGAGTAAAATATTTTAAGATAAAAGAAGCTTCAGTATTGAAAAAGAAAGATTATTATTTGTTTATATATGTAGCTATATGTTCGGACGTGTTAGGAAATCCAGCAAAAATGCTTATGAAATTATGCATATTTTAAATTAAATTATTTGGCTATTCTAAAATGTAACTTATGACATAATAGCCGATTTTGAAAACTTTTACTTTATTTCATTATGAACATATTTTAAAAACAATAATCATCACTATAAGTTTTTCGCAATTAAATATATGTAGCTATATGTTCGGAAGTCACTTAAATACGAAGCTTCCATGCGGTGTTGAGGCTGCTTGGATATACCGTAAATAAATGTTCAGAGCTGTGATTTTTTTATGTCTTACTTTAATGATTATATCTAGTAATGCTGCCTTATTAGCTTACTTTGCTATCATTGAATTGTTTGTAATTTCGAAATTAAGATATTTGCTTGGAAATACTGGCTTAGATAGTTTAAGTTGTGATTTGAAAGGGTATAGCCGGCATATATACTTTCCGCCTGAGATCCTGCTATTTAGTACAGGAAATTTAAGTTAAACAATAGATTTCAATTTAATAAATCCTGGTGGGTGAAAAGAATTAAATAGAATGAAAAACATTCCTGGAATTTTTCGGGTCTCGTAAGAGCTATTAATTAATCTCTGCTTAACACAATATTTCTTTATTACTGATGGCATTTCCAAATCAGAAACAGAATTTGCAGCTGTTCCTCCTAACTTTTTACAGCTAACTTTACATAACTGGAAGTCATAGTTTAAAATAAATTCGCATGTGATGAGCAAATTATGGATTCAAATGAAATTGAAGGTTTTGAAATTTCGTGTAACTCCGTTCAAACTCCATATTTTGTGTTCGGCAACGAAGAGATTCTGTAATGTCTATGTGATAAAAAGTGTTCCAAATATGGATTGTTCAAATATTGATATTGACATTTCAAATATTGACATTTTTTATGGCCAAGAGCAGTTAAGTGACCCATTAATCTTAAATCTTATAAGAATTGCAACCACTAAACACTGTCTTATTCTTACACAATACTTTCCCAACACACATCCACAGGCTAATCAATAATGCACAGATCGATGTAATTAGACAACTTCAAGTTACCTTACGATTCCAAAGTAATAAATGTATAACAAATTAAAGTTACCTTAGTGATACCGATAGCCCCAATGTTTTCACTGTAAGATGTAACACCACCTCCTGTTCCAAATAAACCTGACACTATGCAGCCAATTCCTTCCATAAAAATGCCTCTGTTGATAGCGTGCTTCGGTGGAGGAGGTGCTTCTGCCAGTCGAGCACAAGCATAATAGTCTCCAACGGATTCTATGGCTGATGCTAATGAGCCAGCAAGAATACCAAAGATTGCTCCAGTACTAAATGTAGGAAGACCCCATTGACCTTTAAAAGGCAAAGGAATAAATTTCTAAGCATAAAAAAAATCTTTAAGCGAATATTATGAACACAAAATAGATTATATTTTTTTATCAAATTAAGGTAAATTAAATGGCGTTCTAATATGTATACGATACCTAGCAGGAACAAACAAAACATAAAGCTCCCTGCATTGAATGACATTCTTGAAATGCTGAGATGGATCTTGAAAGACATCTTTATATCAAAAAATATCTTTTATTGCGAAACAGTAGATATTAATTACCCTTTGATTATTGATTAAGGGAAAAAGATTTTTTCTTTTGTTACGCATTTAATTGCATTTGGTAATGAAAAGCTCCAGTTTAATATGTAATTTTGATTGTTCATTTTGTTTTCTATATCGTATTTGGTAATAAGACATAAAAATTAAATGCCACACTAATTATTTAATACAATCAAAAAAAAATTAATCAGATATTTTGAAGAAGGGCACTGAAGAAAGACACCTGAGGCAGTAACTTTGTGTAACTTACCAGCAAATAAATGAAAATCGTAAAACGTAAAACAGATAAGCAAGAAATTATCGCTGACTGCAGTTTCGTTGGGCTCAATCCAACTTTAACAAACGGTATAGGGAACAAAGTAGAAGTTGTAGTGCTTCGCGAAGAAATTAGAGTGCTTGGTCGAAAAAAAGAGAGGTGGATTTCTGAACAGGTTGAGGAAGGGTTAGTTAAAGAGGCTGAACTAAATCAAAAATACTTAACCCATACATAGACATTTTGAAAACTACGTTACCTATATTTTTAAATACAGACCTGGATACGGCGGTTTAAACCACGGGCTTTCCCTCAAAACGGTTAAACGAATATCAGTCCTAGCAGGATTATCAGCTGGTAAAACATTCGTGCACGTCAGAATAGCACATAAGAACCATGCCAATAAAATGCTCAAAATGACCTATAAGAAAGGGAAATTAATTCTGGCGGAAACCATATATTATTTGATATTTATTTTGAATTTCTTTTTGTTCAAATATTGACAACAAAGAAAATCATTTAAAAGTAGAAAAAAAGGAGTTCACTTAAAGGAGGATAATTCTGAAACTTCAGAAACTATCATTTTGCATTGGATCTAAAGACGCGTAACAGTGGGAACCTACTTAGAAAAGTAAAGTAATGTTATTTAACATTACTACTTAGAAAGTAAAGTAATGTTATTTAACAGTCCAATCTTCAACCTATTTTATATATTGAAATTCTCTGCTCTGTTTCTCACTTTTTGTGGTGCTATCACCTACTTTATAAAATACTGTTAATTCCATAATCATTTAGTTTGTTTTTCTCTAATATTTTATTCTACTACAGTCTTAATCAGTCTCTAAGACAAACAATAGTAAATCGCATTGTTAGATGTTTTAGGATAATAGCAAATTTCAGAAAAAATAAGAAATGTGTGTAACATGATTCTCAGCAAGTGTTTACTGTATAGTGCGTTTATTAGCATTCCAAAATTCATAAGAACCTGCTGTTTTTGTGGTACGTTTTATAGGGTATTCAAAGCATGATGTAAAGTAAAGGAACGATGTTATTTCAAGGCAACTTAATAATAATAATAAATATCTGAAAGGCTTCAGATTTTAAACTACGTCCAAAGGGGCGTTATTTTAACGTTTTGTGTATTACCTTTATTTATTAAATATCATGCTCCTCGCACTTAAACCATAAAATTCAGTTCAACAGCAATGCCGCAAAATAATTTTAAAATGAGCATATCTTTAGAATTTCCGATACACTGTTCCGTGCGCTGGAGATAAAAAGATTCCCCTCCCCGTAGAGTGTTGCCATTGCTCGCTTTTAAATCGTTGAGTTTGTTAATCAAAAAATTCGTTAAAGTTCTACAAAATATGAAATCGATAATAAAATAAATTCCCAATTTCAAATTTGGGCTTTCAGATGCCCATTTTGGACATCCCTGCACTATGAGCTTTACTGCTAATTATGTATACATAAAATGACTTTTGATTAATACATCTCTTTCTGTATTTTAAATGCATATTCATTCCAAGTTTAATTTAAATCTGTCCAGTAGACTTTCAGAAATTCGATATAATGGGCAAATTTTCTTAATTTTGCACATGAGTGTATATTAGGTAAGCTTATTAACTCTATTTTATGCATTAAAAAGCTAATAATTTATTAAGAAAAAGGAGGGAATTTCTTCTGTCTTTCTTTTGAATTTTTTCTTTTTTTTTTTTTTTTTTTTTTTTTTCTTGGCCAAAGTTGGTTAACGTCTTATATAATTCCTTTTGTATATATATTATTATATAGTTTAAATGTAATGCAATGTTGGTCCATTAAAAAAAAAAGATCTGTCACGTAAATATAAGAACACATAATTTAAACTAAATCAAAAGTAAATGGTATAAAATAAATTTTAAAATATACCGGAAACAATTTGAATAGGGGGAACTGAGTGGTTTTCCATCCTGTTTTTGATATGTACTTGGGGTAAGGAACACCTATGTCCCTCAGACACTGAGAGAAAATCACCAAAAGCACGATAGTACTGAAAAATAAAAGAGAAATTTCAAATTAATAACAACTCTTTTAAAAGAAAAAGAAGCAGTTAAGCTCATAATGTTTTTTATTATTATTAGCTACTGATAAGCATATAACCTTCCTATGATTATCATCTAATGATTAAAAAGTTTCATAGTTTTTGTTATTATCAGTGTTTATATTGAATCGTTGGTAAATAATACGTAATTGTTAGTAACAGAAAAAGAAAAATCATTTCAATTGCATAGCTACCTTATTGGCTATAAAATTATTAAGTCCATTAGTGACAATTTACGAAACAGCATTTCTCAGGGCATTTACTTTATTCCTGGAACTGAGTTACTAATTAGAACTATAACAGTACAGTAATTTCTGCAATACTCTAACAGTATGATAGTGTATCTTATTCCCATACGTCAACAAAGAATTTACCTGTTTTATGTCTTATTACATTCTCTCCTCTCCTATTTTCTAATGCGAATTCTTAACTCTAAACGGGTTATGCATGCATAATATATAAATCACTAGAACTGTGATATACTCTGTGGTCCATGAATAAGCCCAAAATCAAGGTAATAATGAAAGCAGTGAACATATTAAACTAAACAATTTTAGTAGAGACTGAATGAAGGTCCATATCCCCTGAAAAGCGTCCAACCTAATCCTCATGAGAAACATTCATACTTTACTTCCGCTAAAAGAAGAATGATTAATTTTAGATATATACGGAAAATTGGGGGAAAATGTCTTTTTTTCCCTTTTATCTTCTAATATCTTAACATAAGAAAGTTTATAAATAACAGAAATTAAAATATATCTTATAATTCCTTGTTAGAGTTCTCTCAATGACTTCAGCTTCTGATTAGAGATGAATTTTCTTTTAACAGGTTATTTTCCCATTTTCTTACAAATAGTAATTCCTAGAAAAGATGGAATTTTTCGCAAAAAATCTGAATCTGAAGTTTAAATTGGGCTAAAACTTTTCCAACCATCTGCCAAATAAATGTGATTTATAATACATCATTTGATCATCCTCATCGTCTAAATCAGGAATAATATTTGGGCATTTTCATAATCTTTATGAAACTTTACAATAATTAATTTATTAATATTATAGTTTTTAGAAAGTATGTATTTGCAGAAATTGAATTGTACAACATATATCCAATAATTTCCATTTGATATGTTACTTAATCGTTTATTAGCATTTCCACAATTACTTTTTTAATAATGTGTTTAGATCTTTTCCAGTCCATTAGTATAAATTCATTTTTTTCTCTTCATTCTTTTTAAATTTTTTTTATAATTTTTGTCCTCTAATTTTTATTATATAATTTGTCCTCATCATTTTTTTAAATCATCGTGTCTTTAAAAAAAATCCATTTTATTCGTGTCCTGATATTTAAAACTTTTATTTTGAAAATTTGAATCTCCCTAGCTTAATTACTAATGTTTGTTTAATACAGAATTTGTTCTCATTATTCTTATTAGAAAAACTTTTCCTCTCCAGTTTGGAAGTTTGAGGCTATAAATAAATGTTGGGAAATTTGCATTCCCCTTTGCGTCTGCGAGTGAAGTACGCAATTCCGCAGTAGAAGCCAGGAAAAATGTGAAAACTTCTCTCCCTCGATGTGTCTAACTGGAGTGTGTGTTGTTCTGGTCGTCGAAGGGGCCAGTAGTTGTGATTCTCTCCAGTGTGATACAGCAATATGGTACAAGGAGTCCTGACGTGGAATATAACTGTCGAAGACTGGAATGAGAGAAGAAATTTAGCAGAGTATCCCAGGCAGCATTTACCACGAAGCCAAGTACCTGTCGACGTAAATGAACTGCCAAAATAGAGTCCCCTGACATAACGCAGTAATTTACAACGGTCAAATGAATCATCTGTTATTCATCAGATGTTTTTTCCTCACATGTCACAGGTTGACATGTCCTGTTCATATATTTTGTTAAACTCAACACCCATTAAAATTTATGTTTCACTTGCATCAAGTATGCTGTTTTGATAGTTTACCATGTTTTATACTACGCATTGCTCTAAGCATCACTAAAAACCAAGCAACAGGAAAATGATTTAAATTGTTAATTTAAATATTTCTTTTAATATTTCTAATTCATAGATTAAGGGGTTTTTTTCTATAGAATTTATATTTTTTAAGGAAATTACATGCAAAAAATAAATCGCGATTTGCCCAGATCTTCAAAGGGCAGTCACTATTTGATAATAAGTAATTTTTTGCACAGATTTGAAAGAAAGGCTTAAATTGCCGTAGAATGTTTTGTACATGCCTCCCCCCCAAAAAAAAAGAAGGGAGTGAAGGAAACATCAAATACAGTTTGATACTTACAACCCAGCTATTCCCCAGTGTCCAGAGGCTGAATTTGCAGCTTCAGCAAATAAGGATATCCCAACGAGAGAAATAGTCGGAACAATAGCCAGAGGAGTTATCCAGCTGAGCAGAAAGCCAATAATGCCTGTGAATCCAATAATTGTTTCAAATATGGACGCTCCTATTATAGCACCTTGAACCTTAAAAAAAGAAGGCCAAGTATTAATTAGTTGACAAAACATAAATACGCATTAGGCATTTTCTTAGCTGCCATGTGAAGCACGCACTCCGTCAAGTTCAATTAAATTCGTTACGATCAATTCAGTTTCAGAGAAAATTCGTTGTCTTCAGGTAGCGCAGCGTTAGCAACAGTTATCAACAGGAAAATTACAAAGGTTTTAAAAGTAGAATAGCAGCATATATTTAGAAGTCCCGATGCAGTGTTAAATGTTGTAATAAAATTTTCTATTTTTTTCTGTCTTTTCTCAGTTCATCATAACAACGTTCAGTTTTCTCAGGCTTGCATACTTGCAAAATTTTTTTGTCTTTTTATTATCAGTGATTTGTGTGTTAAATTTATTAATTAAATATTCTTCGCATTTACGCCACAAAAAATTCAATTCAACAGCAAAATCACAAAATATTCAAGAACAGCATATCTTCAGAATTTCCGGTATACAGTCTTGGAAGCTGGATATAAAAATATTTTATTCCGTGCAGTGTATCCACTGCTCGTTTTCAAATCGTTGAGTTCATTAATGAAAAATTCATTAAAGTTTTACAAAATATGAAATATAAATAGTTCAAAATTAAGTCTTCCAGGTACACATATTCGGGTGGAGGACTGCGTGATTCAAAATTTGATAGCTCTAGGTACCTTCGTTTTTACAAAATGCGAGGAACATACATATACACATGCAGATTTCTTCAAAAATACTACTAGGCAATAAAACTCGGTGGCAAGAATTTGGAAAGTGATTCAGCTGTTTATAGTGGACGACGTAAAATTCCGTTTCGAGACTAAAGCGCCGTTCACACATAATACTCAACGACTCTAGAGGAGCTAACCGGTGTATGGAAAACGGATCTATCTAACCTAGCTCGTTCACACTTACTGAAAGCGTCCACTAGCGGCAGCCAATAAGCGAGCGGAAAATCGGCGAGGCTTTCATTTGTTTACATTTGGTAGCTGCCGATATTTCGCCTTGGAAAGCAGCGTGCCACTGCTGCTGCTGATGATTTCAAATATTCTCTTTCGTGATTGGTCTGTTCCATGTGCCGACTAGCTCCGTTTCGCGCGAAGTTCAGATTTTTCAACTGTGTCCGTTGTGACAAAAAACTTTTTTTTTTTCCCCCTAACTCATCCGCTGTGTCGGTTACGTCGGATGTGTCCGTTAGCTCCGATACGTCTTGGTATGAATGGTCCTTTAATAGTTCATTCAGGCTAACGCCCTTTCGGGATAAAACATTATCAAATGAAAGTTACGGTTACGGAACGCGAATTGTTACGGTTCTGGTAAAAAAAAAAGAACATATATTGAGCTAATGTGATATGAAATATTACGCTCTTTATCAAACAAGGTCTGGTCTTACTTCTTACACTAAAGACATCTTAGATTGGATTACTTTTTTATATAAATACTATTACTATTGCTTTGTGATTAATCTATAGCTGTTGATGAAATTCTTGTCGTTAACGGCGTAATTTCTGTTAGCAAAACGAAAACAAGTAAAAATGAGTTTTAGCACTTTTAAACATATGTTAAGCATTGGAAAACTTCTTTCGATTACCTCTCTCATTCTTGACATCCACACGTAATCCCATTCTTTGTTAGTCAAGATAGTTGTCTGATTTCCAACATCTGGACATTGCCATTCAGGTAGGTGTAATATTGCTAGAATGGGAACTAGGAAAGCCATGGAACTTCCTTGAACAATTGGCAATCTGAAAAATCATAGGCAAAGCATTAACTTTATGCTTATATAGATATATAGGAATTTCACGCGGAAAGCTGTTATTCATTCTTCCTTAATTTGATTCTGGATAATTAGGTTAGGTGTTTACTAAAGGTGATAAAATGTTTTGTTTACTTAAATTATGTTTTTTATAAAGTTTCTGAAACACTGTGAATAGGAAGATTCTGTAAATTCAAGTTCTAATATTTTACACAATAATACTTTACAATACTTTACAAAATATGAAATAGATAATAAAACAAATTCTAAATTTGGGCTTCTAGATGCCCATACTCGGTGGAGACGTACGTTATTCAAAATTGGATGGCTCTAGGTACCGTTGTTTTATCGCAGTGCGAGAAACATACCTACATTTATGCAGATTCTTCTATTATTTAATTTCTTAAAGGTTATAATATTTGGGGACAATAATTTAAAAAGTGATTCGCCGTTCAATTAACGGAATCAATAGTGAATCAACGGAAAATGCCAAAACGAAATTAATAGCCCTTCTGGGCAAAATGCCCCTTTGGGTTAAAAATACAGTTTATTTTGACGTGGAGTTTTCACTAATTCTATTATCAGGTTCTGTGTTCCTCCTTACTTGCTTAGGGAACATTTAACTGTACTGACTCGGAACAGGGAGCTTACTAAAACTATGTTCAATAAATTTGGGAAGTAGACAATACACACAGGAAGGGTATACGAAACCCTATTTTTCTCTCTTACAATGATTCCCGGACTTCGGAATACAGAGACCAACACTTGTGGTCTGAACGTAAGAATATAAAATATTAACTAAACTCTAACTAAACTTTGGATTATAAACAAGTGCCTACTCCAAGATTGGCCGTCGTATATTAGCAAAAAGCCGTATGTAGTACAGAGAACTGCTAACTACGATACGTTTAAAATTATCAGAGGATTAAACCTCTGGCCTTGAAGGCAACCAGCAACCGAGTAAAACTACTATGGCAAGCGGCCTGCTTCTAATAGCTCCTTCCTCTCTCTTGCTTGGCAAAAAGCCACAACTTAAGTACTTGGCGTTCGCAAGACATATTTGCATAAATAAGTTAAAGCTTTTAATTCTGGCCGGAAGTAGAAAATAAGAAGTGATAGTAAAGATTTAAAATAAAATAAACGTTAGTAAAACTTAAGATCCTTACACTATCTATTTTAAGAACGACCAGTAGATTGGGTCACTTTTACAACAAAAATTCCTTCCTGAGAAAAGCATTCTCTGAAAAGATCTGCGTCAAACTAAGGTTGTTTCTTTGGCCTAATTTTAAATTTTAAATTTTACATTCGTAGGTTCTCTTCCAATATGGAATACACTCCGTATTTTAAGATTAGGGATATCGGCAAAATAATTTCCAGAAACGGTGTTAGTAGTTCATAAATAAATTTTGCATGCAAGACATTTTGAACTGTTCATAAACAAACTTTTCCAAATTAAAATGCTCTCAAAGTACCTATTCACATGCTTCTAGTTATATTTAAAGCAAATTAGTTAAATTCCACTGCCGTTTATCAAAATAGCTGTGAACAAATGTGATCATATTACGCGGCGCCTGCTGTAAATATTTATGCGTATGAATCTCCTTGGGTTCCTCTGTTCTGTTGCTATTCTAAGTTTTCAATTTTGATCTCTTTAAATCTGTGACACTATTTCTTGGAATCTGTATATTAAATTTGATGACAGGTCTTGTTCGTTTCATTGAAAATTCCAATCTACCCCTTTCTTCAATAACAGAATGGAAGACGAAAGTGAGGTAACCCTGTCAATTACCATTCATATACGCTTTCTGTTGCTAGCTGTTAGCAAGATTGTGGCTAAACTGTCATTTCATTCTTGATACAGTTACCCTCGAAACCTTCCCCTCCTCCCCCGGGGTGCTGTCCATCAAAATTGGGAGCGGAACTGAGCAATGTCGTACTGTCCCTTGTATGGTGCCAACGACAGGGGCAATCTTGCCCTCCTTGCCACGATGAATTTCGTGGACTTGTTCTGATGTTACTGTCAGACAAGTGAGATAAGTCACAATAACACATACAGGCTTACAAGTGTTGCGTTATGCTGCGCATGCAATTGAAACTGTCGAACAACAAGAAAGGAAAAAAAATAACATTAGAAAAATCTGAAAGGTTTTAGATAATATTTTATTATTATCCTCAAACGGGCTCTTTTTTTTTCTTTTTTTTTCATTTAGAGATACATACACGTTTCGAGAGCATTTGGGCTAAAGCCATATTTAAAAACAGCATATCTTAGAATTTCCAATAGGCAATCTCGCGCTCTGGGGGTAGAGATGTTTTATTCCCTCCAGTGTCGCCACGTTTTCACAATGCGAGAAACATACATAAGTTCATGCAGATTCTTTATTATTTAATTTCTGTAAATATAACGGAGGGCGATAATATTTGGAGGCAATAATTTGAAAAGTGATTCAGACTTTTATAGTGATTCAACACAAAATCCCGTTTTGAGACTAATAGCCCTTCTTGGCTAACGTCATTTAGGCTAACAATGGAAGCGAAATTGGATGCCTTAAGAAACTGGAGAAGAAGAAAAGTGCTAAAACTGGCATGGATTTACATGTTGGACGAAATACTGAATTATGAATAACTGACTTCTTCTTCGGCAAAACTCAGCATTTTCGGTAACTAGACACCCTCTCAGTCTATATTAGGTCAATTTGTGACACTCTACTGTATATGGCTCAGTATTTTTAAATTTTCACTCTCAAGTCAGTACATGTTGACCTGTTTCGAAGCATTTATTCCCAACCTGGAAGAAAGGCAAATATTGTATTTTGTGACATTCATACAAGATGGAATATCATCCCATTGTCATCGTTTCTCAAATGAATGGAGTATTAAGCCCGCCGATTTAGTATGGGCTCCAGATCTACAATCCTATGAATTTTTATTATGGGCTGTAAAAAGAATCCTGGCTGTAAAAAGATCATCTTATGTCACTGCCAGTGTGAAAAGAGGTTATGCGATTGGCATATATCAATGATTTCTACAAAAATGCTGTTCCTGCTGTCCACAGAGCCGGCGCTAAAACAGATGCAATGACATCGAACGACAGAAGTTAGGGGAGACAAGATTTTTAGAATTTAGGGAAGCACCGTAAGGCGGATCTTAGGAACTGCAGAGTTGGCGGCAAAATCCCTAGCGCTGGCCCTGGCATTTTAGCTCATCTTCAGGAAGTGGTCAATGATGGTAGCCATATTTAGTTTCACTACAAGGTAGTCAAAAAGTCCCTTTACACGTGCAATTATGCAATTGTAACTTTAATAACACAGTTATTTGTCCAAAAGATCCATACATGCACCACCATTATCCCTGCACAGTTGATATGCCGGAATGTCCTCCTACTCATTCGCTTTAAAGGCTGCGGTGTCACATACTCGAAGGCTTCAAGTGCTCTTAACCGCAGAGCATCATTGTCCACGTACTACTTCTTCCTGACGTATGATTCTATGATTTCGCAAAGGACATTGTCTAGTGTCGTAAGGTCCGGACTTCGAGGCGGCTAAGGATAAGAGTATGGTGAATGCAAAATATTTCCCAGTTGAAAAAGTTTCTTCTTCCACGTGATCAAAGTCTGATGATTTGGTGGCTCCTTACTAAGCCGTTCTCGAAACCTATCCATCAATCAATGTCATATTTTTCTTGTTGTACTTCCGTTCATGAACCTAAATACTTGTCACTAAGTTCTCCTCTACAGTGAAGTCGATAGTAGCTGGCATTATTCTTCACCAAGCACAGAAAGGCGAGACAATGAACTGGTAAATGCAGACTATGCATTTACCAGTCTGCTTCCCGGGCAATCATGTGGCAGTTACGCGGCAATTAAGTTGAAATTCAAGTGAGGAGCACTGTTGCCATATCAGTGATCAAGATGAGACGTTCAAATCTTAAGTATCTTACAATCTTACGCTGTCACATGCATTTAGTTCAGGTGTAAAGGGATTTTCTGGCCCTTTTTTTTTTTTTTTTTTTTTTTTGTTCTTTTATCGATGAAGAATCATTAGATGAAGGTGACTGCAAGTAAAAATTTTGCATAATAAATTTTCTTTAAAAATACTTCCTTTCATATTATGGGATTCTTTGTTAATAGCTTACTATACATTGAAAACGCACTGAAATGTAAATGCTTTAAAAGTTAAGTGACTTTTCGATCATCCTTTAGGTTACCAACGCTAATTCTTTATTTCCCAAGCCCTCGAGAAGCTTTTTACTGTGTGTAAATTCTGTAAACATAGAGGTAAAAATGAAAACTTCTATTATTTAACAGGTCTTGTATAACTTCTGAACCGTATAGGAAGAGAAGATCGAACTATGTTACCCAATTATATCAAATCACTGAAAAGCTATCTATCGGTCTAAATTTACACACCAGTTTCATTCAAGAGCTCCTTAGGGATTATCCTTTTATTTTGATCTTTTACCCTTTTAAGCAGCCTTTACTCATCGTCAGACTGATAAAGGCAGCAAAAGCGATTGGAGAAAAATATGCATAAATACGTTATAGCATTCTCGGATATCTTCAGTGTTTCTCCAAACTTATATGCTTATCCTATATCCAGATAAGATTCATCAAACAATCACTGAATATATAAATACGTTTAGAGATTTACTGCTACTTTTAAATCACAAGCTTAATTTGTGTCCATTAAATATTCCTTAAGTAGTGTGTTAAAATATCCGAAAAGTTTAGAAACTCACCTAGCCCCAAATGTTGTTTGCAAGAACGTGCAAATACCAGATACGAAAAATGTGGTTGAAACTAGGTATCCTCTAGCAGGGGAATTTTCCGGAATGCACATGTGAGGTGCTAATATGTAAGGATAAGCTACAGTGCCACCAAGCATTGTTAAATAATGCTGAAATTAGACAAGAATACACTTAAATAAAAACCATTATTATTTTGATTGATTGAATCATTTATCTTTGAACACAGTAAGATAGGAAACCCATATAATTATTATAATTTAATTTCGTATTATAAATCTTACCTGTAAACCTAAGATAAAGCACAAATACCATGGAGGTACGTCATCTAATGTGTATGCTATCCCGTTTTCTTTCTTTTCTGGTTCATTGTTTTCAATATTCACTTCTGCGAGTGTATTTACAGAAAACTGGGGGGAAAAAAACCGCATTTAAAAAATTTCTTTTTTAACTCATATTAAAACTTGTAATTAACTTTTAATTTAACTTTCAATATCAACAACAACTATTTAATTAGCTGTACGAAATTAGCGTGTTAATGGTGTACTTAGAAGTCAAACTGCTAACATTGATTATGCATTTCATTCATTATGTCTAGTTTTTATTAAGTATCTGACTGGTGTATAATCTACATGTCAAAGCAAATTACAGGCAGAAGTATGCAACAAAACTCCAGTTGTAGGGACATTTGATTTATATTCAAAGCAGGAAGAACCAAAATGTAGCTATGCCCAACCCGGAATTCGAACCATGGATTTTCCAAATCCTAACTGGATGTACTACAACTTACACCCCGAGATCGTGCATGGTGTATGCAATAATTTATTATATATTTATCTAAATTTCTTGTTATTTTTAACCAAATAAAACTCTTCTTTTTATTAATTGTTAATAATAATATTTATAAATAGTACTCTTTTCATTAATTAAGTGAGGGATTTTATTAATTTATTAAAATTAAATGCGATAGTTATTATTTTACAAAACGATAGTTATTATTTTACATGAGTTTGCAATTTATTTTATGTCGACAGTGAAATAATGCCTTAACTTAGATGAATAAAGAGACGTTAAGCATTTCATTTTGCTCAATTCAAAATAATTTATTTTCAGCTCAGTACAGAAAAAATTAAGACAAAAGAATGTATCTAGTTTTAGAGCCTGCTAAATTAAAAATTAATTTTATCATTTTATTTTAGTTGAAATAGTGGGTTGAGTGTTTAGATAAGTAAAAAATAATTTTTTGCTTTCTTTTTTTACATAAAAGAACGTGTTTTATATTTTGTTTTAAGGAAATCAAAGAATTTTTAATTACATCATTCTTGTCGAAATAAATTAAGATAAACGAAAAAATAAAATTCGATAACTTGTAAATACGTATTTTTTTAAAGCTGATTTATCGAGAACTTTCAGTAGTATTAACGGCAGGTTAGTTAAATTTATTGGACCAATATTGTACAAGCATTCTTTTATTTAATCCAAAAGTTTATCACTAAGACACTGCAATGAATGCGTTTTATTACTGAAATGAACGTTTATTGCATCAGAACGTTTATTTATTTAATAACATGTACGCAACCACTACTTTAGTGAAACAAATAAACAATCTCTGCAATCAAATAAGCACTGGATTTTCAAAAATCGCTCTGTTGTGAAGAATTTCATTGCATATCTTCAAATGTTCAAAAACAGAACTTTTGCGCAGTTCGAAGTCAATTTCTTTTTATAGTATATCGCGATAGATTGTAGAGACATTAGGCATCTTTTTGGAAGCAGGAGTCGTGAAAAATCGACCGGGAATCAAACCACGGATCTCTGGAATACGCGCCCAGCGTGCTAACCACTACATTACGAAATCATGCTAAGAAGGTGAAAGAAATACCTCATAAGGTAAATACAATTATGCTCAAAATTAAGAGAATTTTCACATTTTGACGATTCCTTCAAAACTGATGCATAGATTACGCGGGATCATGCGTAAGGCTAATAAGCGTAAGAAAATCTCAAACAGAGTTTGCAAGATTGAATAGAAATGAGGCTAGCAGAGGATATGATTCCCCCTAACAGCCATACAGCGGTCATAACATGATATCCTACTAGAAATGAGGTCGTTTATGAGTTACTGCGGCAGTTGGTCCGCTCCTGCTGCAACGCTGCTTTCAGGTCTTTGAGTGTTCTGAGAAAGGGAATTGCAATTGCCGTTCTAAGACCATCCTAGACATGTTCTATATGACTTAAATCTTGATATTTGGCAAACCATTCACTTTCGGGTAAATCATGCATCACATTAGTCCTAAGCTGACGAGCGTTGTTTTCTATAAAAATGAACTGAGGGTCAACTGTACCCCTAAAAATATGAACATAGGATTCTACGATCTCTTGGCCATACTTCCCAGGAGTCACAAAGCTTCTGTCAAAAATATGCGCTTACCCAACATGATGTCCACTCAGACTATCAAATCCCCGCTGCCATATTGGCCTCTTTCTCGAATGTTAGAGGACAGTTAGCGGATCTCTGGATTGCTCCAGATTAAGGTATGTCAAGAATCAGTAGTTAAGTCGAATCAGGACCCATCTGTGAAGAGAATGATTCCTCACTTCTTGCTTGGTCCGATGTTTTCTGAACCATGCCAAGTCGATGTATTCTGTACCATGCTGAACGGGCTGTCCTGGGATCAGAAGTGAGCGGGACAAAATGCCTCTTTTCAAAAATGCCTTGCAAAGAGAAAAGATCTTAGAATCTAATTGTTTGCCTTTTAAGGGACGCATTTGACCATCGGTTCGTTTTCGTGATCGACAGTGCTCATCCATATAAGCCTCATCTGGTGGATGTTGTTCTTGAAAGTGAGGGTATGAACTGGATGGATTGGCCAGCGAGATCTTCAAGTCTAAACATTATAAAATATTTTTGGGACTATCTTAAGACAGCAACTTCAATTCACTACACCAAACAGCGCTGGTGAAGAATGGGGCTGACTGTCACCACGACTCATAAACTACCTCATTTTAAGCATGAAGCAATTATGAAGTACGTGACAGCTGTAAAATTGTTAGAGGGAATCATACCCCGCCATTAGTCTGGTTTTTAATCGATCTTGCAACTTCTGCTTTAGACCTTCCTATTCAGATTAAGGCTATGCACGATCATGTTTGCGTACTTTAATTGTTGTATGATACATTTTTTGTGTTAGAACCAAACTAGGATATTGCATTAAAATAGGGCCGTCGTTTCTGAAGATAATCAACCAAATATGAATATTCTCTTAAATTTTAACACCAGTGTGTCCAACTAAAAACATTTATAATTTTTTGTTTGTTTACAAAATGCTAATAAATACTGTTTGACGTATATGGTACGTAATAAGATTTGTTGGCACCACTTTAAAAAAATTATAATAATTTTATTTCAATATTATTTGTTTAATTATAATTTTTATAATTATTACTTTTTCTTAAAAGAAAAGAGAGCATTTGCTTCATCTTTAGACTCCAATTAGAAGGGGAAACGTAAGTGACGTACACGGTGAACATTAGCCTCCAAAATTATCTTTACACACATAAAAGTAACGATATTTTGGGAAGTAACCAATCAAATTATTTATTTGTTCTTGGAATGAGAAAAATACAAACTTAACAATCTCTCTAAAATCTAATTTAATCAGGTTATAAGGTATTTTCTCCCTCCTTCCCGCATGCCTTCGTGATATAATTGGAAGCATACTCGACGCATATTCAAGAGGTCCATAGCTCAAGTATCGGTGAGGGCACTGCACATTTTTCACGTCTCCAGCATCAAATTATTGGGTATTACTGAAATGTAAATAATAGCATGATGTCAGCCGAAGGCGAGGTAAGCACTTTGCCTAAAGCACGTTTTCTCGCAAATTTCAGGAACTGACTTGAATGGTTATCGAGTACTTTTATGGCCCTGAAATGTCATTTAAAACAACTTCTAAAGCAGAAAGTGACCGGCCTTTCAGAAGCAAGGCAGATAATCACGGAAATGACAAGAGGAGACCAAGATTTCAATACAGATAATCTCTGTTATCTGGAAACAAATTAAGATCCACAGCTGTCCGTTACCAACTGTTGCAACAAGAACTTGGCTGCTAAGCAGCTAAGTGTATAGCTTGAAGTCTCAACTGGAACATTTTATGTGACGGTCATTGCATACAGAGCACTTAATTCCCGAGACCTCATGTAAGAAAACTAACTGGTATAGCATGGCTTTTATAACTGAAGAAATCCTCCCTTCAATTGGTTCGGAGAACATCAGAGCTCGAATCTATTACAATTTTACACTTTGCATATGTTTCTTTCAATGGCAATCGATGTTCAGCATCTTATTATAAATGTGTTTATACCTGGAGGTGTTCGAAAACACGAAAAATAACGCGAAGTATTAAGAAATATAATTAATTCTAGGTGATACAAATAAGAATGTATAGAGAGGAATAAGGTTCAGCGGATGTAATCCTCCTGCATGTGCTATACAGAAGATCTGTTTGGCTAGAGATATCACAGATCGCACGAATGTCATTTTAGAGACATGTGTGGACTGATTGTTTTTAAGGATGAATTCCAAATCTAGAAAAACCAGGTTGAAACGTTTTTGAAGATATCAATGGAAAACCAAAATTCCATAGAGAAGTTAAGCGACATCTTTGAAAGAGCGTTTGCATCTTGAAATCTCCTCCTAGATATCTCAGAGATCTCTAATGAACCATCTAACTGAGAGTATGAAATCGCGTTGTAACATGTGATAAAACATATACCCTGCTAACGTCAAAAGAGTGTCTAATATATATATATATATTTTTTTTGTTTTGTTTTGTTTTGTTAATTTTTAGATCATCTTTCAATTTTATTTGCTTTCTGACCTAGCTTTTTAACACATGCATTCACATAACGATTTCTCACTTTCTATTTTAGGCCCACCAGCAGCCGAGCGGTAAAGTCGCTGAACACTGGTAGTTCAGTCTGAAGTTCGAATTCTGTGAACGGGCTGGCTGCATGGGTGTTTTCGTGGTTTTCCCCATGTGTAATGTGTCTACGAGCCAGTTTCCTTTAGAAAGTCCTCCGCAAAAGCATCCCTCCCCTTATGCAGATAGCCCTAGTGTGCCTTGCCATAATTAAATACACCACCACACCACACCACTTTCTATTTGAGCGTTATGACGCCATCTATCCTCCTGAATCAAGTTCTTTTTATTCTTAAAATTTTCGGAACATCAGTATATTTTGGAAAATTCGGAAGAAAAAACAAATTCAGGGTCATAAATGTTTTAATTTTAATGAAGACATATCTTGCACTGACTAAAGTTTTTTCGGTACACTCCTTTAAAAATATAAAAGTATTTACAGTGTTAAGTATAACGCACTATCTTGCGTATATAAATAATTTAACTGA